TGTGTTGACCGTTGTGCGAAGCGTATGTGCAAGACGGAGACGGAATCGACCCTCGTGGCGCTCGACGGAAGTCGCTGAGGGCCTTGGGAGACCGTCCTCCCCCACTCAAAGAGGGCTTCTTTAGGGTCTGCCTGGGGGGGACTACGCTGAGGGGGAGTAGTGGGGAGTGCCTAGCCCGAATTTCACGTCTTCTGCGTCCTACGTAACGGTAGAGGGAAGGTACGAGGGCTTCGATCGCGGGGAAAATAGAGCTGTGATAGGCGCCTGCGAACCTCCGCTAGTGTGGCGGCGGGTGGCGCTAGGATGGCTTGCCATATTTGGCAGTCCTCATCATCCATGTCCGTACGTTTAGAGGGTTGACGACTTCCACGTTCTCAAGTATGAAGGCCAAAATTATACACATGTTCTTCAGAGCGTTATCGATGTTCTCAATTGCCCTGCTCGAACATAAAGCTCTGAACGTGATGTCGTCGTCATTAAGTGCCTAAAATCGCGCCGTGTAACCGTAAATAACGCACCAATAGGAACTTCGTTCCCCGCGTCGAGTGCCTAGATTCAGATCCTCGCTGCCACGCTGCGGCCGCACTGCTCTCCACGCGGCAATCAACGCCCCCAAGCGAGTCGCCACAGCACCAGAGGGGCAAGCGAGGGCCGAGGACAGGGGTGTCCATGAGACATTCTCCGCGGACCTCGCCATGGATCTACCCATGGACTGGAGCTTTTTGTCTGCCTCCGCACCTGTAGTACACCTTGTTCTTTGCGTCGCGACGATATCAACCCCCTCCTCTGCTGCAAAGATAACCCTCTCCTTCTCCTACCGCATCCCTCTGGTCCGCCTCTGGTCGACCCCACCTGCCAGCTCTGTGACGACTCATATGCTACTATGAGCACAAACTCGCGAAAACGGACCTTGACGCCGCAATACTACACACGTAGTATCCCAAGTGATCAACGAGTTCCCGGAGAGGTAGCGGAGCATCGACACATCGGACCTGGCAGCGAGTATGTAACAGGTCGTCCTCAGACACTTCACATGGCCGTTGTCATGCAGGGATATGCGTGCGTGCATTCCACGATAGTTCAATCTTCACTACTCTTGTCTTCAGGCGAGACTCGCAATTCGATACTGCGTACACATCGTGGCGAGATCCTGGCGCTACCTTACGCAGAGGTCAGTCTGTTTCAGCCATGCTACTGCCCACAGACCACTCACCTCACGCTCTGGCGGCATTGGATAGTCCCCTGAGGTGTGAGACAAGGCGCGGTGCGCACGCCAGGCGGTAGCACTCGGTTCGTCGGATGTCCGAAGATGACCGCGTGACGTATACAGGTAGCGCACGTCGTTTGGTAAGTCCAACGAGTTGTACACAAGCTCAATGACTTGCACCTGTCCAGGCTCCAGCTGTTTCTATGCGCCAGACAAGTTCATCCCCGACGTCGTTGACGAGTTTCCTCGATAGACCACAGATAGGGTCGGTGCGTTGATCCGTGAGGTCCTGCGAACACTCGCAGTGCTGTCGTAGTGTCCGATGCCAGAGCTTGCTCGGTGCACGGGAAGACGGCCTCGTCGAAGCGCTTGGCTTCGCGGGCTCCCGACTTGCGGGCCTGTTTTAGGTTCGTCAGCTTATTCGGGGTTGAAGGAGAGTGACGGTGACGAGTTAACCTTGCCCGTTCGTCCCATGCGCAGATAGTCTAGTGCATGGTTGGCTCGGACACTGCGTATCACATTCATTCTAGCAGTCCACGTCGTGGGTCCTTGGTCAACGCACCCGTGTCCCATCCCGAGGGTCGGGGTCATAGGCGAGGCATCACTTGTTCTCGCGTAACGATGCAGATCGTCTGCGGAGAGCTTCGACAAGTAGATCGGAGTATGCGCAGGCCGGCTGTTGACGCATGTCCGGACAACACGGCATCTCCTGGAAGTCCCACCGCCACCGCACGGTCATAACATGACTTCGGTGCGACTGTGGTACCTTGACTCCGAGACGCTAGCCCGTGGCTCGCACCTTCTGGCGTTCCGGTGCGTCGACGAGGCGAGCCACGCGTGCACGGAAGGAAAAGCTCCTCTGCATGCAATTGTGTATGGATCGGTTCGCTCTTGTTGCCCAAATGTTGCCTGGTGACGTCTCCGCGGCCTAGCATCCTATTCGCGGAAAGAGAATCTTCGCTTGATTCGCCGAGGGTAGAATCACTTGCCGTCATGCTGTGTTCTCGTCGTCGCCTGATAACTGTGGGTATAGGCAGAGCGACGGGACTTCAATTTCCCGACTTACGAGGAGGCCTTCAGCGTCGTCACGATGTGCTGTTCGTCGGCGTGGATGGAAACGATATCTGGGTGTGCATCGTTGATGACCTGGAGATTCTGTGTAATCTTCATTCCTTTTCACGTCGAGAATCGCGGCCCGTACTCGAACCTCGCTTGACGCCTCCATCATCTACGTCTTGATCCTTGATGTCTTCTGGCTAATCAAGCCTGCGCCCGGCGGCACGGTTAGGTAACGAGATCTCGTTCCGACGTCTTGTAAACCAGCGCATTCGTTCTGCGAGCGAGTTCCCGAGCGGCCCTCACAGACGGACCTGGCGTTGCGGTCTTCTGCCCAAGGCCTGTTACCCCGTTCCAGGTTTCTCGTGCCACCCATAGCCTTCTCGACGTAGGTGTCCCACTGGTGCGTCACCCTCGACATCGAGTGGCTGATCTCCTCTTCAATAGTCGACATACTTGAGGCTCGTGCGTTCATTGATGAGGATCGAGACGGATGTGAGGGATTGCGATAACGTTTTGGTATTGGAGCTTCAGTACGCTCCGGATACCGCGAAGACCTTGGTAGAAGATGGCCCATAGATTCTTGGTCAACAGTTCCGCTGTCCATTCGGAGGCCTGCAGTTTGTTCCTGGGATTTACCGTCTGCCATGTGTCTTGGGAGAGCGGTCGCTGCGCACGCGTCTTCAATATGTTTACGGGTCTGTGGGAGCTCGTGAGACGATGGTATCTGCGCTTTTTATGAAGGTGATCACCTTCACGGCTCCATGCAATTATTGAGGGGCTCAACTGCTGCTGATGCATATGGTGCAGGGAGAACTTCAAGATCGTAGGTATGCCGAGATACCTGACAATCTCTCAGGCTAGGATGAGACAGCGCGGCCAGAATCTGCAGATGCGTAGTCGTTATCCACGACGATGCTGGTTCGCGGTACGTGGTGTTGTTTTGTGGATCTTTGTTTCTCCCAGGCAGCGTCCAGTTGCCCGTCAACCTGTAAAAAGGTCTGTCTGTTGTTCGAAGGAAGTGAGAATGATCTAACAAACTCACATCGCAATTCATGTCTGAGGAAGTAGGTTAACGAGTAGTACGGTGGATGTGAAACCATCGGATACGGATGCACACGCATATTCGTCTGTCAGACGTTTTCCATAGGTGAGTGACGTCCGGTTCGGCCAGAGATAGACAGCGAGACTGAGCTTGTCGTATAGCACGGAGGTAACTTGGTGGATAAGGGTGACAGCGGCGGGCGTAGGCCACGATGCAGGAGAAGGTGGGAGGAATCGAGTCATGATGGGGTAGCGTGTTAGGCGATGCCAAACAGCTTGATCACTGTTGCGAATCCGTTGGCGACGTTCCCTGAACATGAAGGAAGGCCGGGTAGTGAACGATTCGCGACGTGCTCGTAATGGTGTTCAAGCCACATAATTCGTCTTGTAGCCCGAGGGTTATCGTCGCCGATGAGCTTTGGAAGAACAATGCCATGGTGCGACGGGAATGTTAGTCGATGGCTCGAAAGTGAGTGCCACGCCTATGGCAGCTGCACAATGCGTAAGTTGAATAAGTTGCGCAATAAGCAGGTATGCCGCTTACTGTATCGAAGCGCCACTCGTTCTGGAGTGGCAGAAGACCCAGTCAACAACGTAGGAGCGTCTAGGGTGCGTGAAGGCGGTGGTAGAGAGTGGGCCACTCGAGGTGGCGCCAGAAAACCTAGTATGTCCAGTTCGTGGGAGATGACTGTTGACTGATGTTCGGTTTCAAAGACTGCGTATACGACATAGTTGCCTCTTGACAGGGCGAGGGTCGTTGGACGAGTGATAGGATGGAACGACTGCTCAGCTGCTGGCGAGTGGTGTCTTCTCACCGAAGCCACTGGAACGTGGTAGGGATTGTCGTCGACCTCGGGGACCGGCCGAGGCTTCAATACTGGTTGTCGTCGACTCCGGAGTGGCGAGATAGCTCGGATATCGAAGACAGGGTGGACGATGGCTGAGGAAGTCGCAGCACGAGGCTGGCGGTCTCTGCGCAGTTCCCAAATCTGTTCCTTGTTCTCGATGCGGGAAATCGCACATGTTGTCTCTGGCGCGAGAGCGATGGTGTCTGACGGGCGAGCCTGTCGCAGGGGTTTGTTTGGAGCAGTATAATGCTCCGAATGGCTCGCTGTGTCTGGTTCGCGCAAGCGGTCGGTGTTCAAAGTCGAAGGCAACCTGCGAAAGGGAAAGGGTGAGTACTATGTCGCTGTAAAAGCGGAACATCAAACGAAGTAGTCACAGGGCTGAAGCGCGACGTCAATTTCTGCACCTCCTCACGCTACTGCCCTGCTTCCTGCAGACGACGCCAGATGGGAAAGCACCCCAGTGGAGGTGCATCTTTACCAACCTCGCGCGACGGTCTCGCAGCACGAGTTCATGACAGCAGCCAACGCTGCGCACAACCAGCTCTGCGTTATTGCTGTACTTGTGCTCACCTTGCACAGATCGTTACGGCGTGCGATACGCTGTACGACGAGCGTAATGGCACCCGTGACGCGCGCTGTTGAATGGCAGCAAACAAGGTGGTCACGGCGCGAGGGAACGTGACTTGGTGGATGCGGGCGCTTCTTTGCCCCTGCGAACGATATTTCAGGGCCTGTTCGATCGCAGGCAGGGCACTTTCTCCGCTCACGATCCGTGTTTCCGTGTGTATACTGTAGTGGTCTTTTATCATCCTTTTTCCTCTACACGACGTCACCCCCTTCAGAATATGAATGCACAAGGGTACTCTGACCTTGGTCTTCATTTGCTCCTGTTCGACGCACAATTCGAACAACTCGCGACAATTCAAGCTGCACAAGGCGGCGCAGCAGCGATGACCCCCGATGTTCTCGCTCCGGACCACGAAGCGCAAGAGGGCAATAACGACGCAGATGTCTCCCCATTGGAGCGCGCTGCACCCGGTTTCGATGAATACATGCGGCTCTACGAGGAGCACGCAGAAGAAGCTGTAGGAATGCAGCATGGTAGTGTCTCTCCGATGCTACTTCCATGGTGAGTTTCTCTGCTTCCTATTCTCGTGTACCTTCATATTCACGAACCATCAGGGTGTCCATGGGATCCTCAGGCTCGCCCTTCAATGCTGGTGAATCACCAGGGCCTTCAGAACACGAGGCAACGACATCGACGGTAGTACCGTCACATGAACTTCCTCCGCCTAGGTACAGTCAGTCCCTCCACAAAGTGAGCTTCTACTAATTCTGCTTCCAATGCTAGTGCGGAGCTACCCCGAAGACGTCGCGCCCCACGGCGACCCATCGCAGCTTTGTCCGCGTCATCGACGCCCGGTCTCACAACGGCCGTTTCCTCACCAGGAAGCATAGCGTCCCTGCTAACGCCCGGTAGCTCTGCTGCGAGCACTCCGTGCTATCCGGAGTATGTCTTCGAACGGCCTGACCTTCCGTGCGTGCTCTTATGTTACCGCCCTTGTGATGGAAGCTGACTGCCACCTCGTTCAAATCTTGTAGTAAGGTCAACCTGCGGAAGCGTAGGGCTTCGGCTCGCAGTACTAAGGCGCAACAGCCCATTGCGTCTACGTCGGGTGTAACACTAGATGAGCCGCTCCAGGCGGCTGCGTCCTCTGCTCCTCCGCCTGCTATGATGCAGGGTAAGCGAGGGCGCGAGGAGACGGAGGGTGGGGATGACGACGATGAAGAGGAGCGGCCCACCAAGGCCCAACGGCCGAACTCAGAGACACCTCCTGCCAGGATGAAGTGCGTCGAATGCTCGTTCACCGGTACTCCGGACCAAGTGTGGGCCCATTACAAGGCCTACCTACCCGGCGCCAGCGCTGTTCCCCGCGCTGTGCTCTATACGTGTCACTGGAAGGGCTGCGATGCCACAGGGACCGGAGAAGTGCTCTACGAGCACTGGTTGGAAGCACACACGTCCGATTTTGCTGCGGAGGCGTATCAAAGGAAACATAGGGACCGTACCGTTGTTGTCGAATGTCCATTGTGCGACCACGACTACGAGGCCCGGTGCGCGGAATGGGAGGAGGCTGGGCAGCCTGAGGGAAGGAAACCGTTATGTCCTGCTCTTATCAGCCCTATCATCCGCGCCCATGTTGCGGGACATTGGCTTGCTCCGCCGGTGTTCGCGTGGTGCGAGCCATGCCGTGCATGGAAGCGGAAGGACAGCATCAAGAAGAACTTTGGCACGTGCGTCCACAAGTTCATGGCGACACATCGCCATCAGCACTAAGCTGGAACTCGAATGCGACGAGTCGGGTATAAATTATAATTTATTTATTGATAGCAGTGTAGGGTAGTGTCGTACTGTCATGTTGCATCTTTGCTACCACATAGTTAGCCACAAAATGCTGTTCGTAGAGCCCGAAGCATCAGTGGTTCTCCCAACACGTCGATCCAATTTCCAAGTAGCAGTCCTGTTCACGGCGGCGGAAATTATGCTCTTTCCTGAGAAGACAGGACTGAGTCGCGGTCAAATGCATCTCGCAGATGCTCGTCAAATGCCACTGCGACAAACTCACGATACACGAGATGACGTTGCCATCCTAAACAGCTGTGTTGCTGATAACCCGGAAAGGATGCTAGCGCAATACATTTGAGATGACCGCAGCCACAACTGTCGGTCTGTAGAGATAACACCCGTGATCGTCGCCGATGTACGCGATGGTTGTGAGCGAGGCAGGTCGCCTTCGTCGTAAGTTGCGCCAATGCTAGATACGACCTGTATGACGAGTATAATCACCAGAAAGTTTAGCCACTGGTTGTACGTAGCGAGGAGGATACTAACATGGTAATACTAAGTGACCGCTTCGAGATTATGGTACTTCATGCCGCCATGCGCCGTACACCCATCATGACGTGGTGAATAGATGTTAGCCATGCACACTGTAATATGTACCACAGGTACCGGGTACTATGCGAGTATAAACGCTAGAGCGAGGCGGCGCTCCTTCAAAACACGCTGCTGAGCCAGAGGGTCGCCGCCGGAGGGTTTCCGTGATTGTTGTAGACGCTGCGCGCCCCTGAACTGGAATCCTTCGAAATGTACGCTCGCACTGAAGACCGCCATGAGATAAGAAGTTTTTCTGCCATTAACAACACTTACCGCGAACTGATAATGCACCGCTGCTGTGGGGGTGATCAGTAGAATAGCCGAGATTGAGATCCTCTCAGCGTTGAGTCTAAGAATAGTACCCGCGCTTCACGACGGGTGCCACGTGGCTAAGCTCGACGGAGAGAGATGCCTGACAGAGTTCAAGGGACTCATGTCAGTTCATCCAGGGCTTCGTGACAATTGTGTCTTACATGTGCTCACCTCGCTCTCGTCTTGTTCCGGATGGCAAATTGGCAATGATGACAAGCATCGTCGCTGACGTCGTCAACCCCGCCTCAGCATATGAGTTCCGCAACACCACATCACCTCGGTCCTGCGTATGTCTTCACAAGCGCATATTGACAGCGAAGAGCTCGTGTGCCACTGCTATGCAAACACAGAGAAAATCATTGCAGTGGAGGCTAGGTATACCGACCACCTCACCTCGTCGCTGATATGCCGAACGGCTCGTCCAAATGTTGCAACACTTCATCGTCGTACAAGTCTTCACATACTAGTGTCTGCGCAGCAAGAGATCTGAGATGGTATGTTTTCTGTCTTCAAGTTGGAACACGTCTTCATGACCCCATTGCGACGCCTCGGGTTTACTATCGCACAAGACCAATGACATCTTTTGCACCATGTGCCGATCAAAAGCTGTGTCACGTCTTCGTAATCCCTACCAGAAGCTTGGCCGTAGTGCACGGCGATGGCAGGCATCTGGTTCAACTTTCTGCTGGTAAGTACAGGACATGATTACGTCGCAACCACTCACCTTATGACATGCATCTAGGCAAACAATCGGCCCGGGTGCTACCTGTGTTTCCGTATCACAGGTCTGCTCGTTAGGCATCTGGAGCATGAAGGCGGAGACGAGATGCTCGTACATACCAGACAATAAACCGGTGCGTTCACTGAGTTCTAGCGGCGGGGAAAGTGATAGGATAAACTGACACTGTACGCGAATCAGCAGGCCGATAGGCAAGGCGCAGGCATGCGTCTCATTGAACGTTTCTTCATCGTGTGGCTAGAACGAAGTCCGAGGAGGTGAGACCACAGTGCTCGGATTTCGGGAAAACGATTCTCACCCTTCGCGACAGAAATGAGCCGAGTAATGGAGCACTGTGCTGCCGATATCATGCTCGAAATTGGGCTTGCGGTAGCAAATGGCGAGCGTAGATCTGCTACGACGATTTCCGTGGTCCTGCAAGATGCCTGTTTCAGAGCAGTGGTTTACATGGCTCGATATGAGCTCCAGTAAGATGAAATACGTGTTTTATTTTTGGTAGCTCATACACGTCGGGTGTCTGCACGACGAGGATGGCTTGAAGTGCGTTCGGCAGCATGAGCATATGGGCTGGGCTCAATTCGCGGCCTCTGAGCTGTGTCGCTTGGAAGATATGCATTACTAGACATCTCGTCTCAGGTATCGCACAACGGACTCACGGTGTACTCTGACTGAATGGGCAGGTGTAGGAATTTGCTGGAGAAGACCACGAGATTTAGAGTGGCGTACTGCGAAGGGATAGGAAATGGATATGCCGTCAAGCCAAATTAACGGAGTGGCTGAATCTCCGGGATCCTCGGTGCTGGAGCAAGGCGGACCAGAGTCTTCCGAACTTGAAGTACAAGGCAGTCTGGTTTCCAATGGGCGATAGGGTCGTTCTCGCGAACCTGTGTGCGGCTGAGCAGCAAGCCATGAGTTTGGTTGCTCCTTATTTTCTGTTCGTGCAAAGGTATGTAATATCCAACGCATATTCGTCCGACTATCCTAGTATAACATAACACACAGAAAATTTGACTCAGTCATCGATGGAGTGACGTGGACAAGTTACGGGGGGAAAGTAACGCACGTGGGAGATAGCCTGGTATGGGAGTAGGCTCAGAGGCCCTCGATGGTGCGTGAGACAGTTGAGATGTTTGGGCGCGTAAATCCAACCTCGCGTCGTCTGCCCGCCAGCCACAACCACGTCTGTCTCGGTCTCTCCCCTCTCATCAACGCGATTACTACACTTCTACCGCCATCCCGCGTATTAGCTTCCCACAAATCGGTTCCCTGCTGGTTAATTTACCATCAATTGCTAGACCTTTACCGCACTACCCATTCGCAGGATGACCTTCCGCATCACGTTCGAGAGCCCAGTATATGCGCAGCCAGTCAACAGGTACTGTCTTGTTTACTGATTGACTTGATGTTGATCTGACTTCCGTGGACTTCAGGTTCTGGGGCCAAGAGGTCGACGGAACAGTTCAGCATGACAACTCCAGCTCTTGGGATCAAGAGGTCGAAGAGACGGTTGAATCCGCGGACTTGAACCAATATATGACCGCACCAAATGCCCCTGAAATGCTGCAAACACTTGCAGAACAGTGCGGAAACAGTTCCTCCGTCTTCACTCACGCATTCAATAACTATTCATATTCAGCAATGCAGGTAGTGGCCCGTGCTGGGATGACTGGTTCAACATTGGAATGGACAGAGAATCAACATCATCAAGCGAGGAGAGCCTCTCTCCTACAGCGACAGGCAACATTGAACAGGCTTCGCTGTACCCCCCAATGTTCCAGGTGGCCGAGCCTGCATCAGTAGTCGATGATACAGCATCTTCTGGATCAGATATTGCACCGGGTCCAGCCCCTCCCTCCCAATCTAGTCAGCCACCGACAAAGAGACGGAAGACGCAAATGTACGTACCTCAAGTATTCTTGTTCAACACAATCATAGGGAGTTGTACTTACATCGTTTTATGCTGCAGGAAAGGAATCAACTGTACATCTAGCAAGGTCCGCAGACTCGGTCGTCTAGCTTCGATACGTATGGAGGATATACTAGAAAGCCCGGGTGCCTCGGGATCATCAGCCACGGCGCGTGATCGTTCTGTTTCTCATCGGTATGTGCTCTCAATGATTCAATTGAAATTATCCTCGCTGATGCGTTGTATTCGCTGTAGCGCTATATCAAGGAAAGCCTGGGCGAGCGCAGTGCCCGATCGCGAGTCAGCGGCTCCTGTCTCCACCCGAAACATGCAATTGCCTTCATTCGCCCCGGAGATCCCTATATCGCTACCGCGGTTCTCCGTGAACCGACGCTCAGACTCGCCCAGTAGCTCCTGGGCAGGCTCGCCACTATCTCATGGGCTCGGAGTGCCCTCAAGCTCATCCTTGGACGAACCAGGCGCACTTACTGCCTCCTCATCTGGGCAGAAACGTGGACACGAGCACGTAGAGGACTTCGAGGACCACGAAGACCGCGAGGACATCGCAGTACCCCCGCTTCAGCCACGTCGTTCGTCGGGGGGCCTTGAAGATAATCTCGCCACGCAGCCGCTCCTGGGGTCTTCAACGATCCCCGAGCTTCAGGCACCCGGCGTGATCCCCGAGAGCATGCAGATGCATGCTCCCCCATTTTCGCCTCCAATCCAGGCAGAATCCACGAAGATCTGGGATAATACCTGCACCTGGAAGCTCGAAAACGGACGTGTTTGTGGCCGACGTGGAGATCCAGAGGACATCTGGCAGCACATACGTGTCGACCACGGTCTCGATGCGCTCGCAAAGGTCCAACCGCCCCCAACACGCATACAGTGCAACTGGGCGGGATGCGAGTTCTACGGGTTCCCCGAGGAATTTCGTGGACATTGGGAAGGAGTCCATCAGGAACGCATAGAGCGGGAGCTAAAGGAACTGGGCATAGGGTCCAACAACAAAGTACAGTGCCGGATTTGCCCAACGAGCGAAAAGAAGGGTTGGGTGAGGAAAGACGGGTTGAACAGACACGTCCTGACTACGCACTGGCGTGCGGAGCGGATCCGCTGGTGCGATATCTGCGGCAAGGAAAGCCGGGATGATGTATACAACAAGAGCAAGCGTCATCATCGCTCCTCCTGTCTGAAGCATTTCATGGAGAAGAATTCGCAGTTCGGCGAGACGTAAGTTTGCTTTCGACGGCGGTCAGAACTCCATTGATCTGACTTGTGTGCTACTTTGTGTTTCATTCTCAGGATAGCTTAGCACCGACATCCCGAGCCTCGAAGAGCATCGTTGTTGTGTGACGTCTGTCATTGATACGTGTTGTAACATATTGTACGCTACTATCATAACATAGAATGTACGATCGGAGCATTTCACTCAGTCATAGCGAGTCGGAATACCACAGCCTGAAGATTCATCACGACATGAGTTCCGCAGGGTAGGAAGGCCTCAGTGCACCCGGTGAGCGGCAAGTTGTGATGTGCCCATTCGCACGTGAAGCTCTATTGACAGGTATGAACGGTATCATCCAGCGAAGAGAGTATGCATTGGTGTTTTCGTCTGCTCTATGTTTAATCCTTCCTATAGCTGCCCAACCAGTTCATGACACATGTGCGCCCGGCCCTACGACGCACAAGAGAAACGGACCAACGTGACTCATTCTGCTTACGTCAGGCCAGAATCCCGTCATGCTCGTTTCAATTGTTGGCTGACGGATGCTCCATGAGCTCGTCGGTCTGCTCTGATGACATAAAAGCCGGTCATTCAATTGAGTGGAACAACAGCGAGACAGCATATCGATTTACGGACCATGCTCAGGCTGGGAGTCAGAGCCAGTGGGCGTCATAGATGGAGGTTTAGCTGAGAAGGAGAGAGCAACGGAAGACCGCACGTTCGATTTTTATGTGCAAACAGCCACCCAGTCAAAGCCAAACACCGGCCGTGCAAGGTGCGTCGCGCTGCACCGACCTCTGTCACGCCCGGCCGTTCCTCGCGCATACCAGCCTGAACAGACGAGTCGCCTTGTTTCCCTGTTCCACTGCATCTGCGGTCATTGGTTCATGAAATTGCACACGCAGAATATGTTATCGATAGGACGCACCGTTACCGGGATAGAGAACAAGGGTGTCCCAATTTGGCAACTGTGTGTGGACCTCGCGTCGCGCCTCGACTTGCTGAGCCACTCGCGGTCACCCGCCACTCGGTCGTCAAGTTTAGTGGCGCCGTACGGCCCCTCCCACTGGCTCAAGGAAACCAAACTTGAAGATACGGAAGAGTCCCCAAGGTCGACACTGGCTCGTTCAAGATGCGTTCGATTCGCAAACGGATGAATCATGATCTTCCTTTCCAACTCGGACTGCGGGCGGCGCACCTTCTCTATCCCGGAACGTCCATCTGTGCGTGCTCTTTACAGGCGGTCTGGAGACTGGACACATTCTCAGCGCGGCAAGGAGCATGTTCAATCCGCCCGGGCCCTCACTCACCTCGCCACAATAACTACTGGCTCGCCACCCGACGTGCCTTCCACCCACCTCCAGCGTTTCGGTACCACGTCTTCAGCATCAGGTCCGTCACACCGCGATGTTGATGAAGAGAGCAGTGCAGCTCGTCCGCCATTGAAGTTTTACTCCGCCTGCATCCATTGTGGCCGCGACTCACCTCCGCTTCGCCTGCCTTCAACCTACCTCGAGGTCACGCGCCTGCGTCGTTCCAATCAACTGTGTGCCCTGACGTGGAGCCGGGCGTGCGTGGAGACCGGTATGACGACTTGGTACGGCCTCAGAACGTACGGGAACGAGCTGCATTGGCCCAAAAGAGGTGGTGAGCGTTGTTCACCGTGCTGTGATACTGGCTTACCGACTCTGAGTCAAGCACACAAGCTACCGAATTCGCAAGCGGATCCAATGAGGAGCCTACCTAAGAGATAGACGAGATTCTGTTCGATGTTCGCGACGGAGTCATGTGCTTGGAGTCGTATACAGTTCGTATTCTCTTCCCTTAAGACCGACTTCACGACGTTCACCGGCGCCTTTCCATTGTAGTATACGCTGTAAAGCGTGTCTATCTTCAAAGTGAGAGCCCTACGTCATGATACATACGTCTGACATCGTCTCACAAGCAACATGCTTAACTATTGCCACATAGATATGGAACATCAACACGCCAAGGGGGGAAGAAACCCGTCCCAAACGGAAGAACCTCACGGATCTTACATCCAGCCCTAGAACGCCTGGAATAGCGCAGAACAGTACTTCGTGAGTGTTTCGAATCCAAGGAAATTGCAACGATTGTTGACTGTGATATGCAGGGAACCGCTGAGGCGCATCGATCAAGTCAGGTTTGCTTACCTTCGCCCTTCTCCGTTTATCACAAGGTGAGACTTCGTTCGCTACATCGCGTCGATCTCAGCCGCTCATGCAGTAGCACTCACCGACGGGTTGGGTGAGACAGCAGGCTATCTTCCACGCCCCGTCAGTAAGACACTTCGTGAAGACGCGACACACAAGTCCTGACGGAGTAGGTCGATGCACCCCGATCTGCGCAGACTTTGTCGAAGTGAAGGTAAGATGCAATGTGCGTAATCGTTGTGGACGTACCACTCATGATCGACCTCTCTCAAGGCCGGCGCGAGTGAGGAACATGGGAGACTGGGTGTCAAGGCACAACGGTATGGAAAACGGTGAGTAGTCAGCCCTCGTACCCTTCAGCAGCCGTACGACGACCGCTTTCCTGACCGACAGATGCTCGTGTACACGTACTGTCGAGTGGATACGTTGCTCAGTCGGCTCCCCCACAACGTCCACACAGCGCTCGAACGACATCCTGTTCCTGCCTTCGCTGTTTCGGCCGCGCAGGATATCGCCCTAGGACAGCTGGCCGACGTCGTGCCGGGAGTCGCTGGGGGATGGGCGGGAGAGAATGAGCGTACAAGCAACTGGGTGCGTGGAGACAGGCGGGGAGGGGAAGGAGGTGAGTGGGTGCCCGCTTTCGAGAGCATCGTCGCCATGGTCTGAATCAGAACAGCAACTTGCAGGGGATGGGGACCTGCGTCCACACTTGCCACGTGGAGACCAGGGACGCGGTTTATGGCGATGTTCGGGCACCCTTCACGTGAGGACATTGAATTGCACTTCCTGTCCCCGCTGCTCCATTCTGAACCACACATTCCCTTTGTGACAGGGACGAAAAGAACGCGAACGAATGCTTTCGCTATCGACGCTTCGATTGCTGTCAAGAGGTGTCACTCCGCCAGTCGAACTCGGTGGGTCCACCTGCCTCATTGGGACCACTGAAGCGAGCGATCGGAGATCCGACGGGTACTGAACGCCGCCTTCCTTGTTCAGCCACGTTCGCGACGGCGATCGACATAGCCGGCGGTGCCTAGAAGCGCGCAAACCCAAGTCGAAACCACAGCTCAGCCATACGTGAAACACGACCCACGACCAACGTCAGACTGAGGTGAATGAGAGCGTCTGGCATCGCGAAACCCCCAGGCTGACATTGTTGGACTCAGGACTCTTAATAGAGGTACGGCGGACGCGCAGTACCAGGAGGATCCACCGACGACAAAACCAAACCAGCGACGATCGACGTACCCGATCGGCCAATCACAGAAGATCGACGCCGTGCGCCCACGACACGACACGCGTTGACAGGTGTGTTGCTTCCGCGGCTCACGCATTGCCTCCGTATTGACCCCGCCAATTCAGACGGAGGAGGATCGGGGATCGTACGCCGTCGGCTTGCAGCAACACGCCGGCCCTCCTCGTGCCTTTTCCCAGCGTACAACTGACTCCGATTGCCACGACGTCCCAGTTGTAGGCCCACCACGCTCCGGTTGCGTGTCGTTCTGCTTCCGTCACAGAACTGGCGTCGGCAGATCTTGGCCCCAATCGGCGCGCCCACATGTGTATCCATCCCATGCGAGACAGTCGTCCATTCGTCCTGCTGAGGCATCGTTCCTGTGATCGATGGATCCGGACTGCACGATCGGCAGGCTCTCAATTGATCACAGGGATGTTGAAGTCTGTGGGTGTCTCCGTCATCGCACTCAGCGTTCGCACTGATCTCACTTCTATCCTACATAGCGTAGCGGGCGATATCGGGCTGGATGCACTCTTTCCAAATCGAGCTCCAGGCGAAGATCCTTCCCCGTCGCGTTGATCACGACTGGATTGCCACGCAGCAGAGCCAGCTCCAGACGATCCATGAAACAGGTCAGATTCACTCTTTCGTGTCGTTTTCACTCCCCCTGACACGCCTGAGCTAGAACACGGGCGCACGACGGCTTTTCATTCGGTGACGTGGCGCGCGCGCCCGTCAAATGCCGTACGGTAAGCCACCCTTAGTCATGGGCGCTTGCCGACTGACGCGTCATCGTCGACAGCACACCGACGTCTCGCAGCGCTCATCGCCGCGTGCAACTGCACACAACGGACGCACTGCCAGAGGAAGGTGCGCGTCATCATAGGAGGATCCTGCCATATTGGGATCGCGCAGGTGAGTGTGTCAGCTTGGCGGGGGCCTTGGTGTGAGCGGGGGAGGCTGATACACATCCCAACTGTATCATGCGACACCGATGCCCTGACATTGAAGACTCGGCATCACCGTCGGCATGAGTGTTGCTCGTCGATCTGACGTCTCCGTGGACCCAATGGTGATAGTTCGATGGGACGAATGCGGTATTGAAGTTGAACACGGTGAGTCACGGACATCCTTGAGGGACATCGGTTCGCTCTGACGTTAATTGCACTCTGCAGGCTCTGATTACACTCGTCGATGTTGGTATCAACGCTTGTGCCCGACTCTGTGAAGTCCTCTGCAATGGCTCGTTCGGTCCGCGAAGAAGATGTCAAAGGGACGCGAGCGTAGCCCATCCGTGTACGGCGACGTGCGATGCGCGTCCGCTCTGGGTGGGGCTGTACGGCTATGAGGCAGAAGCATGACTTCTGGACAAGGTTCGTCATCAAACACGCAGCGAATGATCACCGTCGCTCACGCATGTTCAACTGTTGCGTAGTCACGGCGGTGTCCCTCGCGTGTCTCCTTGTTGAACGTATCGGCACGAGACCGACTCCCGCAGTTATCGCACCAAACGGTGCAGTCCCATTGTGCGCCCTTCGTGTGCGTCGTGAGGTTGCGAGACCGCAATCCTAGCAGGCCCCCGGCGCACACCTCGCACTGGACTGGCCAAACGGTCCAGACCAAGTGGAAGGCTGAAGCGTCTCCGCCAGCACACCGCGGGTTTTGCTCACCCAATGCTCCGGCATCGCGCTGGGGTACGCAGTGACTGAGCAGGTAGTGCCCCATCAGCGGCCGTGGTGGTCGCGTTTCGCTGTGTTAAACGTATCGTGCCGAAACCGACCTCCGCAGCTATCGCACCAAATGCTGCACTCTGGCCGGTGCTCGTATGTCATGTGTGATGCGCGGTTCCGGGACTGCAGGGCCGTTTCGGTGTCGGTGCACGCTCCGCATCCGACGTTGGCTTCATGGCGGGTCTGACCTGGAGGCAGCGTCTCCGCCAACACACCCCGGTGTGTACTCGTCCAGTGCTCCAGGATCCCGCTGGGGTATGCAGTTACCGTGCAGGGACCCCAGACTCGGAGTCCACACTGCACCGGCGTTGGGGCGCGCTCTGGGCGAACCGGGTCCTGAAGTCCGTGGGCGTGACGGACGTGTGCCCACCCGTCCTCCGCCACTCCCTCCCCCTCGCACGTCCGCCCGTCCTTGTGGCGCCAGGTGCACGCGCACGTCGGGAGACCGTAGCGCTTCGGCTTTGCCTGCGTGCCCTGCAGGGTTGGCCGTGGCTGCAGCGACGGCTTCGTCTCGAGCGTCCTCCTCTTCGCAGGGAGATACCCTCGTCCCCTGTAGCGCGTGGCGCCTAGGTGAAGACAATCGGCCGGTGCGGGATCCATAGCCATGGTCCTCAGTGATATTCGGCCGGTGGGCTTTGCGCCAATGGGCGTGCATCTCGCCAGGGAGGGATACGTGCGTGCACGGGCACCAGCTACAATTGATCGCGACGGGCCGGGCCCGGGATGGGCGAGAGTCCAAAGCCCGTGAACCGTGCGGACGTGCTGAAAAACAGTGTCCGACGACCCACGCCAGTCGCACAGAGTGTCATCTTCATTCCTCCAACTACACGTGTACGTCGTTCGCCGCCCTTTCTTGGCGCAGCCGCTCCCGCGGGGCCGTCCAGCGGTCTTTGGACGTGATGTCGGACGACTGGGACCCGCCTCGCTGGTCTCCTCGCGTGTGCGGTTTACTCCGAATTGGACCGACCGACCGACTCCGGAGGGGCGTGGGTAACAGGGATATGTGACAGCATTGGTCTACACACCCATGCGGGACCTCCAGGGCCCCGTGCGCTGGAAGGGGAATGGGTCGAAATGCCCCGTGGGTTGGCAGATAACGCGGGGGCGGGTCTTTGTCGATCGCGAAGCGGCAGTTGGTCAGTAGTCGAACAGCCCATGCGCATTCCCTGGACGTGATGGTATGTTAGCGAGCCAAGTAGACGGACAATGAGTTGCAATTCTCACGTTATCTCCTTCGCTGACGGCTCATGGGCTAGGACAGGTTCTCCGCCATTCATGCTGCCCGCCGATGGATACGAGACCGACTCGTCGTTCTGTTCGGACGACGTAGAAGTCGGTCATCTATTGCAACGGAACGGCAGCGGGGGGATGTATCACGACTTACGGTCGGTTGAGCATCGTTGGCAAGCATGCGAACAGGACTCTCGACCCCGTGAAAAGTCAGAGCATTGGCATATCGTGATGGACGAGGTGCGTGTTCGTGTAGCCTGGCGGCATTCGCAGCGCCACTCACGGCTGCAGTATAGATGGTTAGGAGGAATGGTCCCGGGATAGTGGCGTGTATGGTCATCGTAGCTGTAGTCGGAAGAGGGTGATCCTTGGGTCTTGGCTTGACAGCCGGGTGAACTAAGGGTTTATATATGACGGAAGCAGGCTCAAGACGGTGACACCCTTTCGGCGAACAATGTACAATGGTACTCGAGTGGCGATGGACAATGCAATTAGCGCTACATACACTTCGAGGCACATGCGGGCCCGCTGGAAGGACGTCTTGGCGAAGATACCATTTCGGTTGAACTTATTGTCGAGAGCGATTACAACGTTCGGGTCCTGGAGTTGGGCCCTTCCTTGAGGAATCTTCTTGCGACCGTAGGCTGGCTGCCAAGTGGCTGTGAGTTCGCAGTATTTGTATGAGTCACGTAACCTGCTGAATCGGATATGGTAGTCTGTCTTAGAACTCTTACTTGCATGAGTACTATCGTATCTGTTTACCATTTCCGACCACAACATGCTCTCCGTGATGACTGCAGCTCATCGTCCTTCCCAGTGCTACTCGCTGGAAGTGATCTTACACGAGCGTGTCGGTCTATGCGGGATTGACGAATCGTGTTGCGCCAGGGGCAGCATTAAGGAGCGGAGGGCTCGCTCAAAGCAGAAGACTGTACAACTCATTGCGAAGCTGCCGGGGTCGTCCAGAGGGCCATGCTATCGTCGCGCTTGCGGATGCGCTGCTCGCAGGAGCAAACGACGGATGTCCCGGGCTTACTGCCCTAGGAACAAGGATATCTCGAGTCGTGAACGTTTCATCCTCGTTCAGCATCGTATGTTACGTGTCTGTATCTACGTATCCGGAAGGTTCTAGAGCAGGGTCTGGCTCTTTGGTTGGAGTCTTATACGCTCACAGAGCAATCGCAACATCAACCCGTCGACCACGGGATGTAGGCTCGAACTCACCAATCGCGAGCAAAACTGACGAAAGATGTCCTTCGGGGCGGTGGTGGGCTTTTTGCTTGAACGGATGTGGGCGAGCCCCTTAGCTGGGTCGGAAGTGTTCGCAATTCGGATAGCTTGTGATTCAGAGACGGAAACAACAATGTACAGTACGATATATCACACAGCATCGTAGATAGTGCTACATCGAAAGCGACTACACGGTCAGAGCAATACAAAAGCGGGGACAACGAGGAGATCAACGGAATAACAATAACAAGCATCTAGAGAACCGAGGGTGCAACATCAACGACACTGGTACATAACGCAACCTAAGAGCCGGGGAAGAGTCCTGAATAGCGAGAGGAGATGGGGCGAAAACGGGTCCACGAGCTCAAAGATGACCCAGACGTTTGTGGGTGCGCACGAGTTTGTTGACACACTTGCGCAAATGGTGGCGTGTTCCACCAAACGTATCTTTCCGTTTGGCTTTGCCACATGCATCGCACCACCGCATGTCATCCCCTGTATGCCAATGCACGTCGCCCACATGGCGCACGAGACTATCCAGTCTCATGTACTTGCGCTTGTTCGGTGGGCAGAGCTGGCACTCGACCTGGTACGCCCCACCCAGGTCACCCGACTCCTTGGCCTCCTTGTCGAGCGCCTGCTTGTGGTTGCCCTCATCTGGACCCTTCCAGTGAGCGTACAGTTCCGCTGGAAACCCTTCGTACTGGCATACTTGCTCATGCCATGCACCACCTTGAGGTGGACCCACACGTCCTCGGCGGATCCGCCGAACCCGCAGATTTCCGGTCCCGACCCTCCTTGAGGAAGCGTGCACGACATCTCCGGAGGTTGCCCTGACGGAGGTGCAGATTCCTGCGAAGGTCCCGCGTTTGGAACAGGTTGCGGTGGGAGGACGTCAGCGCAGGGCGCCGGGTGGGTCGTGCCAGGTATCTCCGCCTGCACGGCAACCTGGGGCTCTCGGTGCACGCGTTTGACATGGTCTGCGCCTTCATCATCGTCTTCTCGCCTCCGTTTTTGGCCCGCTCGTGCCACCGACGCCTCGTTGACCGCCTCGTCATTGCGCTCCGGTAGTGAGTGTGTCGGTGATGTATCACGCGCAGGAAGCAGCCGCCGTGGTTGCTGCACAACCTTCGGAGATTGTGGTGGGGACGCGGCGGCTTGTGCCGCAAGGGCCGGTGACGCGGAAGTAGACAAGATGTCGCCTGGGTCTGAGGTGCCGCCCGTCGCGTCGCTGCGTCGAGACGGCGTGCGCTCGCCGCTACTGCTGCTGCTGTCGCTGCTACTGCTGCTGCTGTCGCTGCTACTGCTGCTGCCGCTGCTGCTGTTGTTTTCGGTTTGCCCCGTCGTCGTCGTCGACTCGTACGCATTCCAGTCGAAATATGAGTCTGCCTCACTGCACACGCAGAAGCATCAGTGAACCGAGAACTTGAAGTGATGAGGGGCAGAGATTCTCACTTTTCCTCTGCTGACAGGTCGGCGGAGGATGTATGTGTCTCTTCGTACAGGCTGTTCGGCGCTGAATGTGGAAGAGAATCGTTGAAGGATAAGGTAAATCTGACAATCGGGTTGTCAGCAGCGTCGAACAACGTTGGGACGATGTGTCACGACTTACTGTCCCTCGTAAGCCTCGGAATCATCGCCAACAAACAGGAGGGAGGGGTGGTAGATGTAGAAAGACATGGAAAGGGAGATGATAGGATGGAGATGGGGGAATGGGGTGGTATCGGGAGGGGGCTGCTGTCGTACGGAAGCGGAAGACAGGAAAGTATAGAAGGGCGCGAGGGATGCGAGAGGGACACGGGGTGGTAGTAATTAGAGGGAGAGCGACAGCGGAGACGTTCGATTTTGTGTGCAAACAAACACGCGAGCGAAGCCAAACACTAGAATCGCAGGGTGCAGCGCGAGGTGCAGCGTGGTCACGCTCCGAGTCCCCGTCCGCGCCTCGCTTAGCCGACCTCTGTCACGCCCGCTGCTTTTCCCGCGCAAGCCAGCCAGAGCAGACAAGTCGGCGTGTTTCCCTGCGCCGCTGTCCCTGCCCTGATTGGCTCACGGGATAATGCACGCAGGATTCGCCATGGATACGACGCACCAGTATCCGGACTGAGAACAAGGGCGTCCCAATTTGGCAACTGCATGGACCTCGCATCGCGCCCGGACGCACTGAGTCACCGCCACTATGCCGTCGCGGCCAGTATCGCACTCCGGCCTGACCCAGCACGAGGAGAGCCGACTGCAAGCCGCAGCTGGGCCCTAGAGATTCGCGCGAGCCTACTCGATACCCGCAGACTGCCGCCTCAAAGACGCGTTGTCTTCATCCTCACGCGGGTGGCGTCCCTTCTAGACTCGCCTTCCCGTGCCAGACGCGTTTCCCGTTCACCTGAGCTCGATACGCGTCAGCTAGGGTACTCTGTGCATGAGTGGCGCGGCAAGGAAGGCTTCGAACCAATCTGTCCCCGCTCTGCCCTCGCCACAACCCCGAATGGCTCGCCACTCACCTTCATCTCCCGTCCCCCTCCCGTTCTCTAACAATGCCACTCTACCCTATGGGCCGTTGACAACGGGGTCTAATCGGAAGCGCAGCAAATCAGCCCGCCATTGAAAGAATATACTACCTGATCTCTATGTGGCCCAGCGCTCACCGCCGCCTCGCCTGTTCTTCAACTTCGACCTACCTCCGCAATACGCGACATCCCTACCTGAAAAGACTTTCGCCCTGTTCGACCTTATACATGCGTTCTGGCGGAGCGACCGACCTTGCCATGACTCGACAAGGCGCTGCGAGATGGGGTGCGTCGACAATCCTACTGTGCTACGATACTGACTTACCGTGCTACAAGAACAGGCTAGTTCGTCAGCAAAGCGAGCGACTCCAACCTACCTGGAAGACATCGGATACTACTATCCACACGGCGAGTGTAGGACCGGGGTTTCTCTGACTCAGTACCAACTTCGCATCACAGCGCCCTCGCAGTGACCACTTGCTCACGGGATGCGCTGCGTCTGTTCCACGCGGACGGTTCACGACGAGGTGTGCAGTTCTTTCAACGTTTCATAGACGACGTACGTGACCATACAAGCAGATACGCGACCTCAAAACGAACGCAACCGTAAGTAATGCGACTTAACTCATCAAGATTCACATCACTCAACTAGCACCCCCAGCGACCGCATGGAATAGACGGGAACCTAGGCCGTGTCCGCGCGGCGAGAGACTCGAACCTGATGCGTTGTAACGTAAGGGGAGATGTCCGTCTCGAACACCGTGACCTGCGAACTCTACAACTCAGACCCACCAACACTACACGTCAAGCTCAATGGCGACGCAGGCTGGATACTTGGTAAGTGCCCCAGGGAGAACAAACTTGAGTCTAACGATCATCTTGGCAGGCGTGGGTCGGTCTTCCGTAGCGATTCCGCTTGTTGAACAAGTCAAGACTGCCTGCCTTTCGTTGTCGTCTACTGGGTGTGAGCATCGTTCGCCGGGTTCATATCGATCTTGACTACCGCAGACGAATGCTGAGTCCATCCCAGCGCAGCGTTGTTCTTCCGCGCCGAAGGACGCGTTCTGCTGCGGAACGATCCTGATCACAACAGGTCGTTTTGCGATGGCGATCCGTGTGTGGTGAAGGCACGCATCGTTCAACGTTCCACGTCGACTTCGACTCGCTTCCTGGCAAGAAACAACCATCGGTGACATACGACAGACCCCGTGCGGCTATCTTCCCCTGCCCGGGGCCGAACAGCCTGCGTGCCGTAGGACGGGTTGAGCAGCTTAGATCTGCGGCGAGGGCTGCATGACTCTGCGTGCACGGTTCAAGAGAAGGTGAGATGCACGATCTGAGATCAAATCGTATACGTACCGCTTTACTCATCTCGTCTGGCAGACCGGGATATCACCAACGCGCGGCTGCAGCGGAGACGCAGGGTGGACTTCGCCGCGTTGCATCCTCAGGCGTGTGGGCATCCAGGGGCCTTGGTAGATCCGGCGCGGAGTGCAGAGAGGCGTTCAATGGAAGGTAAGCTGCACCCTAGATCGAATGACGTGCGTACCGCTGATGACGACTGTCCTCCCAGACAGCGTGCGGCTGGGACAGAGACGCAGACCAACCCTCTTCGAGTCGTAGGCACAACGATGTGCGCACACAGGGGTCTGCCTAGGCAGCGAGAAGGTCGTCCTGGTCTCCCTCGGTGAACGACAGCGATCCGGCCACCGATGTGCTGGTGCGTGGCGGGATGCCCCAAGGACCTATTGGGCTCACTCTGGGGGCAGCCCTCGCACACAGCAATCCGATGCCCTGTTCCCGCTGTCACTGGGACCACCGTGTCGGGATACGTCCCAGGACAGCGTGCCGGCGGAGTGCGGGAGTGCGAGCGTGCAGGCGAGGACGTATGTGCGCGAGCAGGGAGGAGGGGAGGGGAGTTTACGCCCGCTGTTCACAGGCTGATATAGCCTCCCGGATGCAGACTAGGACAACAAGGTGAGATGCGCGGACGCAGACGAGGGACCCCTGTGGGCGGGGGTTGCTTATTATTGTGTGCTCGTCCGGGGCACGTGGAGACGGTCGTGTGGGGGACGTGGCTTGGACGCGGCAAGCGTTTGCATCGGAGATGGATCGAAGGGAACCCCTCACGTAAATCAATTGGTGTTGTATTTCACTTTGATTGCTGCTCCTCTGCGCTCACAACTGTGCTGCCTCGGCGATCGCAGGCATGAAAACGTCGTATGTACCATATGCGTCGATGCCCAACCACTCTCGAGGAGTGCCACTCGTTGCTGTGGCGGAACTTCGCCACTCGGTCAGAGACCGGACGCCGGCGAAACGCTCGGATGGTGCGACCTGCCTCTTTGGGAATATTAGGGCCATCGGAGATCCGACGGGTGATGGCGCTTTCCTTGTTTAGCCATGTCCGGCTAGCATCGCCGTGAGACGCGCAACGGCACCTTCACTGCAGCCACACTTCAGCCACACGAGAACTTGACACCATTCACAGCGCCCGCGAACCTCCAGTTTCTTCAGAAAGAGTTGACGAGGTGAGTGGCAAATACTCATCGCAACGAGGGGCTCATATGCTACGCAGCATTCCAGCCATCCGAGGCTCCATCGATGCGACACCTGAATTCGCCGTAGAACGCACGCGAGGTGCGTGCGCCTTCCAGGACGTTCTACATGTGTATACCGGCTGACAGGCCCCACGTTGGAAGGCTACGACGCCCTCCGCATTCCTCATCACAGCGTCACTGGTGCCACACTCGGAGCAGCGACGATCGAGCGGCGTCCACGATCAGCTGGCCAACCGCGGACATACGTCGACGGACATGCACGGCTCCCGCCTCATCAACTCGATACATACCACCTTCTCGCCTGCAGGTGTTTTGACTCAGGACTGACGCATCTCACAGGATCACCGTCACGCCATGTACTTCAGTCTCGCTCGACGCTTGCAGGTGGAAGGGCTGCGCACGCTCTTCGTGCAGAACGGCAACCACGTCATCGGGCGAGGAAGAGCAGCCGTGGGTCCCGATGGGCACCATCAATCATTGCCCGAGCACGGATTGGCGACACGCGCTTGCAGCAGTGGGTGACGACGTCCCCACAGGACTGCAAGTCAGGAGGACTGCAGGCACCGTCGATCAGGGTGGCCACGCGTCGCTCATGTACGATACTACATCTGGTTTCCTAGATCCTAAGGACCTGCCCTCGTTGCCGGAATACATACCGTCAGCGATAGCTCTTTCTACACAGATCCGCATTATCGCCCTTTTCTGTGGGATCCAGAGTACAATAGACGTGTCCAACGACAGTTGTGACGGATGCCAGAACTACACCATTGATCGATCGTCGTGTTGACGAACATACGATCTGCCATCTTCTGAGCACATTTCTGAACCTCGAGTTCTGTTGAGTACGTACCATGTCTCAGGCGCACGTCGAAGCGAATTCGAACACCGTCGCAGACGTATCGATTGGTGATTACAGCAGCGAAGTGAGGACGGGGCAGCCTGGCATGTTGCATAAGCCGTGCCACGTAAGCAGTCCTGCGTTGCTCCGACGCGCCCACAACGCACCATTGTCCCGCAGCGTCTCGCGTCAAGTGCGACTGCACATAGCTGGCGCGCTGCAAGAGAATGACATGCCGTGAGCCCGCGTGACTGTCTTCACCGTCGGGCCGTACGAGTCAGCTTCGAGTCTCAGTCGTACGATCAGTCGTTCGCCAGCGTAAATCTGAATGACGGCACCCACACCTGGAGAGCTCATCTCCGAGAGTGATTCTTCCCGTCACTCTCCGGCAAGTGTAGCGTCAGCTGAGTCTCCTCTTCGTCTGGATGAGGCTGATCCCTTGGTGTTGGCGACAGCAAGTTCCTCCGCGATCTATTCCCGCACCAAAGGCACCTGCAAATTGGACTGTAAGGCAGAATCGAGTGGGACTCCTTGACCGGTATCTGTATCGACGTCAGCTCGAGAAGTGAAGGATTTCAGTGGCGGTTGACTTACAGCCAGCCTGCCCAGAAGATATTCCACCACTCATCCGGGAGTCGCTGAGAGAACGCATATGTGGACCACAGGGAGATCGACCGCTGAGCGCCGCCACGTCAATATGGTGGCCGGCTGATCTGCGCCAATTTTTGTAAGGTTCCGTGACGTTCGCAGAGGTACCGGCCATCTAGAGTCTCCTCCCTCGGGTCTGCTGGGACCGACGTAGACATGCATGGGCATCTGTGCGTGACCCTGGAGCATCCTTTTTGGATTCAGGCTTGCAGTAGCAGCGCAGTGTAAACTCGGCTTCACCTCGAAACGGGGGTATCTTATGGGCGGTAGGGCGTGAGGGACATCATCACGAGCTCGATGGCGACTGCCCATGACGGCGTTTCGGAAAGATGAGGATTATAGCGCGGCTACAGGTGATAGAAGAGCCGAGACGGGGAAGGAGGATAAGAGGGTGGTCACGATCCCGAATCTGCGTTGTGGATACATATCAGATGGAACACAGCGCGACAGCATGGAGATAGTGATGCGAGGGGCTTACTGTACCCGGGGGACACGCACGAAAATGCGGATGTCACCGAAATTGAATCCTAGACATCGAAGCTGTTAGCCACTAAATATGAAGGCACGAACGCTCCGTGGACGTACTGTGAGCACGACCCACATCGCATACATTTTGGCGGTAGGACACGGATATGCGTGATGCGACGTAGACTCGGATTGCTGCACGCGCGCCGGCGTCCCAACTGTGCGTCACGGTGGTGCACCGTATACACGACGGACGGGTTATCCGATCCGCCAACGGACGTGGGTGGACTAGCCTGAGTATGGCTGTGTGAAATGGTCCCGCTCGAACATGAGTTTGAAATCATGGAGGCGGGGCACGGACAAACTGACCTGTGACGTGGCACGATGTCCGTTGCGAGATCGAAGCCATCCTTGAGGCCAGGGCGGAATTGGCATAGCTACGGCATACCGCGAGCATTCTCAGCACCTTGGATGCGTCAACATATGACGCGATCACAAGCAGATCCAACGGGCGACTCACTGCTGGCTTAGTCTGCTGCGAGCATCGAGGGTGCAGTTCCGACCTTCTTGGGCTGCGCATAGGTTTCATATGCAACATTTCGAGGAGCATGGCTACTTGAGATGATCCATGTGAGACCTATGCGCAGCCGGGTTAGCAGGAGTGGTGACGAAACGGGAACTTGTGTGGGCATAAGATCAGTTGTGGCACGTCTAGACAGGTTCGTGTCGGCACTTACTACTGGGTCGCGCGCCGAGGAGCCTCCATATTCTCTGGCATCGAAGCAAAGGCGGTGGGTACTTGATAGGGCCATGTATCAATCTACTTACGGGGCAGAGCGACCCGGCGTGGTAAACGATCCGGATTGCAGGCAAGGTCTCCGTCGGTGAGTGCACGTTGCGCGTAACGGCTCTTGGATCGCGAGATGTCGGCTTTCCCGAAGCAAGTTTCGACGTGTTCGGTTCATGAGTGATGCAGGGCAGTAGCGAATCGTGAGTAATGTCCTGCGAGGCCGCTCGGTGGATGGAGGAGGCGACGACTTCCGGGAGCGGTTCCGAGTCCCAGCCACCGACGCGTCAGATCGTTCCCACGCACACACAGTTGAAGCGCTCACAGTGGCCACCACTGTACACTACATGACACTGTCTCGCGAAGCTCGACGACGCTCGCGAGCATCCGTTAGGGATTTGTTGCGTACTCTTACACGTCGGTTCGCTCCGTTTCTTTGCAAGTTTCGAGATCTCATGACTATCGAAGCGGAAAAGTCTACGCGCTTCAGAGTGACTAGGTCGTCTCAATACTACGGGGACCCCAGCGGGCCGCTCAGCGTACCATAGTAGTCGCCAAGTGTGACTCCCTGGAAGTGCGTGGAGACGAACGTATGTAAGGTAAGACACAATCTTACTGCTCGGAACCGTTGTTTCATTGTGCCTGTAGCAATAAGGGCCGACCGAGAACCTTCGAGGCTCCAAGCACCTACGCCGCTGCAATCCTCAAGCTCGCCGGCCCACCAGAGTACTGTCCGTAGGCAGCTCGAATGTGATGCTAGCGTCGTGGGCTTGTTCTGCGGCCGTGACTTGCCAGGTAGGTCATATCAATACATATAGAAGCTCATACTGATTGCCCGCCTGCGTAGGCTCGTCCTGGCCATGAGATGCACACCTGCTATCTCCAACGACGTCACCCATACTGCGAACAATACAGAATCTGGCGCGTAGCGGTGCATCTGGAAGACAATGGTGATATGCCACCGACTTTGCATCGTCCTGAGTGGCGAATTCTCCGCCTCATCTACTATGCATTGTCCACCTCAAACTTCGACTCACCTGCCAGTGCTCAAGCTGCGCGTCTGCCTTTCCTCCATCAGCATAAATACGCCGCGATGGTCGTGCTCCGTCGTTTCCCATGATATTACGCCGATGTCCATGTCAAAGTGCCAATGTTCCGCTCAACCCTCGCCCTGTACGAGCTCGCTACCATTCCTCCTAACCAGCGGTGCACATCGCGAGCCACTCCTCGTGCGCTATCGTTTCGGTGAGCTGGCAGCTTGCTTGAGATGTTCTCGTGCTGACTCGTACGCGCTGTGTTAATGTAGGATCCCGTAGAACGACTTTCGGAACGCTATACGAGCGTCATCATCTATGCACGCTCGTATCCGTCTGCCCTAGACCGGATACCGTTGTGGCGCGGTTTCTTCCATCCGCTGAAGAGGGGTTGCCTCACAATTATCCGGACACTATGGGCGCGACACCCCGTGGATCCGGTGACGGACAAACCGTCTACGCCTACCAGAAAATTCGAGGTGACTACTCTGCCCCGATATCACTGTGCTCAAACAATCATCATCCGCGTCACGATAGCCTATGAGCACCATCCAAGGCGCCACGCAACTGCGGAGTGGTGGAAGGTAAAGGAAACCAGCTAGGTCGGCCAGCGCGGAGGGCAGTGAAAAAACATGTACGTATGTGCTATCTTCAGGTGTGTCGATGCGTCTCACAGCTTGCGCTAGTGAGACTGTGGGATCTGCGACGAGACGATGAGCCCAAGACGCGATCGCGACACATGAGCAGCGCCAGGCACCGCGACGAGATGAAGAGGAACATACCGCTCCCAGAGATAGCTGAGCTCAAGTGTCCGACTTGTAACAAAGTACACGGCAGCCCACGGACGCTTTGATGTTCATCTGACTTCAGTGGACTTCAGGTTCTGGGATCAAGAGGTCGACGAGACAGTTCAGCATGACGACTTCAGCTCTTGGGATCAAGAGGTCGCCGAGACGATTCAATCTGCCGACTGCTCGGAACAAAAGATGACCGCACTCAAGGCCCCGGAATTGATGAAGACGCTTGCGGAATGGTGCGCAGATGGTCCCATTGTCTTCACTTGGTCGATAGTAACTGTTTATGTTCAGCATCACGGGTAGTGGCTGCCAGTGGGACGACTGCTTTGACGTCGGGACGAATACCGACTCGTCACCGTCAGGCGAGGAGAATCTGTCACCCATGGCGGATACAGTCGATCTGGCGGCACTGTTTCCCGCAGTGTTGCAGACAGAAGAGCCTCCGTCTGAATCAGATGTGGCACTAGGGCCGGCCCTCCCATAACGTCCAGTCAGCCACCGCACAAGAGACGAAGGATAGAGATGTACGTACCTCAAGTATTATACAATGTGGTCGTCGGCACTTACATCGATTCACGATGCAGAAAAGGGGCTGATCGTGGAGAAAATAAGGGTCGCAAAGGCCGTCTGGCCTCCATACGTATGGGGGATATACTCGAAAGTCTGGGTGCCTCGGGCCATGAAACTTATGGTGGTCGATCGTCAGCCCACGGCGAAGTGCTCATTCTGGTTCTCATCGGTATGTGCTCTCAGTCAGTCCCTTGAGATTATCCTCGTTGATGTGTCGTATCCGCTACAGCGCTGTATCACGGAGTGCCCGATCGCGAGTCAGCGGCTCCGGTCTCCACCCATACCATGCAATCTCCTCGATTCGCCCCGGGGATACCTATATCGCTACCGCAGTTCTCCGTTACACGACGCTCAGACTCGCCCAGTAACTCCTGGGCGGGCTCATCAATATCTCATGGGCTCGGAGTGCCCTCAAGCTCATCCTTGGATGTTCCAGGCGTACTTGCTGCCTCCTCATCCGGACAGAAACGTAGACACGAGCACGTAGTAGAGGACTGCGAGGACTGCGAGGACCGCGAGGACATTGCAGCACCCCCACTGCAGCCACGTCGTTTGTCGGGGGCCTTGAAGATGGTCTCGTCACGCAGCCGCTCCCGGGGTCTTCAACGATCCCCGAGCTTCAGGCACCCGGCGTAATCCCCGAGAGCATGCAGATGCATGCTCCCCCATTTCCACCCCCAATTCCAGAATCTACGAAGATATGGGAAAATACATGCACTTGGAAGCTCGACAACGAACGCGTTTGTGGCCGACGTGGAGATTCAGAGGACATCTGGCAGCACATACGTGCCGACCATGGTCTCGATGCGCTGGCAAAGGTGGAGCCGCCACCAAGACGCACGCAGTGCAACTGGGCGGAATGCGAGTTCTCTGTAGTTCCGTCGATATATACAAGGCGAGTTTGTACTTCACATACGTGTCTACAATGAGCTCATAGCTCGGCCGACTTTGACCTAGGTCTAGGTTTATCGCGCAACCGGACGAAGGATCGTTGAAGAACAGTCAATTGAGCGGATGGACTGAGGTGACGCACCAAAAACCTATTGAATCCCGACCTCCCTTGCCACAAGGTCGAAGAGTCGGAGCGGATTGACCTGGACGTAGCGCTTACAGATGGTGCAACGCAATGTCATCTCGAAGGTCGCCTGGCTGGTGCATTCGCATCTGTGGCAAGCACCTGGGAGATGACAATGTGGTTTGGGCAACATATATCGCGCCTTAGTCTTACCAGCAGGCGTGGGGAGTCATCCTTTCCCTCGTCCAACCTTCGTATTGGTCCCTAGGGAGGGAGGAGGCATGGGTGTACGAAGACTTGCCTTGCCCCCATAGCTAAAGGCGCTCCCATGATGACCCACAAGCATATTGATCACACTAAGATGGGGTCATCTGGGTACATGTTCACCACAACGATATGAAGATCTGTAGTCGGTAATACTACAGTACTTGTCGAGAACACGGAGACCGTAACATGAAAGCGCATCCACAGCTACAGATAAATACATATAAGGTAGCGACAATACATAACGAGAACGTTCAAGGCAGAGCCGGTACACGGACCGGACAAGCACAACACCAACAGTGGTACAGAGGATCATACCGGGGAAAGCCTATCACCAAAATGCTCGGGACGTTTCTCCATGAAGTCGTCGAGACACTCCCGGAAATGGTTGCGGCCCCGTGCGCATCGATCTGACCGTATGTATTTGCCGCACATGTCGCACCACATAAATTTGTCGCCGTGGAAGCGCCAGTGCATCGCCTGGACATGCCTATCGAGGTTCGCGAACAGCAGCGACGCCCTAGAGTCGAAAGCCGCGCCCTGCGGGCAGAGTTGGCATCGTACGAGGGGGGTCGAGACGGTCGTACTGGCTTCTTTCGCCAGCTGTGGCCTGTGTTTGACCTTCCAATGCTTGAATCGGTCCTGTTGCGTACCCTCGAAGCCGCACTCGTTCCAGTCACACTTTCCGACGACCGGCGCCGGCTCCGCCTTCGCGGGGTCCACCGCGTAGTGGTCGGCACGGATGTGCGACCAAATCTCCAACGCGGTGCCTTCCCTCCCGCACTTCTCCCCTTTCCGAATCTTCCATCCACAAGTATTATCGACGGACGGAGGCGGAGGCGGTGGTGGTGGCGGATTCAACATGAGTTGGAGCACAGGTCGTGCCTTGGCCTGTGGTTGGTGAGGTGCCGGTCGGGGGCGCGTGTCGCCGTCTTCATCGGCCCCAGATCCTCGTCTCCGCTTCTGTCCGGGCGTTGACGCGGAGACATCGAGTGAATCGGCAGGCACGTAGGACTCCCAAGCCGAGCTGGTGTATGATTGTATGTGTGGCTGAGGGGGCGTGGATTGCACGAACGTATGGACGAAGGTTCCGTCCAAGATAGGTGCAGATGGTGTCGTGGTACCGGGAGCTCCTCCATCCTCCGATCTCGCACTGGACGCAGAAGCCGCAATGCTGAATGCTCTGTACCCTTGCCGGGTCTCGATCTGGTCTTCCCTCACGCTATGACGCAGAAGCCAGATCGTCAATTGCTGCATAAAGGGAAGTTCGGCCGCGCCTACGTACGGTATCTCGAATGCGGGCCTCATCGGCGCCGCGAGTGCCTGTGTTCCTGTGTAGTAGGTCGTCGTATGCGACTTATGCGCAGAGACGGGCGGCAGGGAATGAGGATGAATGCTCGGACGAGTGGTAGTGGTACCAGGGAAGCTGATGCAGCAATCGATTCAGTGAAAGTTGTCAATGAAGCGTCTGTATTGCATACCTGGTTACTGTCTCTGCGTGGTTGTCCAGCGTCACCCGAGATGACGATGCCTCAGGCTGAGGCTGCGACGAAATTGCAGGAGCCTGGTCCCCGCCTGTCCGAGCTCCCACGATAGCTCCTTCCTGTCGTTGAGGCTGCTTGCGGGCAGCACTCCGGCTAGGATCACGGATGATACATAGTCAGTGTCTGTGACGAGGGCTTAGGAGACTACAAAGCTACTCACCTCTGTCTCGGAAGCGGTACTACCTTGCGCGCCGCCGGTGCGTCCCGAGATGCAGACCGTCTGGACACCGGAGGTGGTGGTTGAGTAGGCGAAGGAGGCGAAGGTAAAGGCGATGGGGGCTGTGGAAAGTACAGCAGCGGAGGAGTGGACACGGGCGATGCTGATGATTCCGACGATGGGCTCGTCATAGTCAACGAAGGTGTGGAGAGTGACTCAGCACCAATGGACGGCGAGGGCGCGGGGTCTGTTTGGTGTACGCGCTCTACCTCGTCGTTTGAATCGCCGGTCGAGTTGAAGACGACCGGATCAGGCAAGCCCCTGGCGATGACGCGCCGTCAGTGAAGTGACCGGGTACAGAGTGTCCCAGTCTTACCTTTCGCCGATGTCAACTTCCTTCATGAACCCATCGCTATCCCAAAGATGATTGCTATCACCCGACCGGCTGTCGAAGTCGGGCTCCGGCAGCGATTCACTAGCCAACCATCAGCAGTCGGCTGTAAGATTGGACTGGGAGACATACAACTGGAACAACGCCGAGATCTCGGCAGCGTTGTTGAGCCCGAAGTCAGATATGTCGAGGTCTTGGAACATCGTCGACTTGCTGATGATGGGATTGAAGCTGATAACAATGGTAACCGGGGGGAGGGGAATCAGGTGTGGAAGGAAGGGATGCTGGATAGATGAGGGGAGTGGATGCTAGTGAGAGGCGCAAGGGAAGAGGATGCGGAGAGGTGGTCGTCGCGGGTAGAGTAGCGAGCCGTGTTTGAGTTGGCGCGTGCAAATTATATACCTCATTTCGCGCCCCGCTGAGTACGCTCTGATCCCACTCTCCCTTCCCGCCCGGCCCCGTCACTCCGCTCGCGCGAACCAGACCCAGCGAACCATTCGGAGCATTACCCTGCTCCGAACAGCCCTCTACGACAAGCTCGCCCGTCAGAGCCCCTCGCTCTCGCCCCAGAGACGACATGCGCGACTGCCCGCATCGAGACCAAGGCATATCCGGATTTGGGAACTGCGCACAGACCCCCAGCACCGACGGCCTCGTGCCGCGACTTCCTCAGCCATCGGCCGCCAGCCTGCCCTCGATATCTGAGCTATCTCGCAACTCCGGACTCGACGACGACCAGTTTTGGGGTCTCTGCTGCCCGAGGTCGACGACAATCCCTCCCACGTTCCAGTGGCTTCGGTGAGAGGGTACCACTCGGCAGCAGCCGAGCAGTCGTTCCATCCTATGGCTCTTCCAGCAAGCCTCGTCCTCCCAAGAGGCGGTTAGGTCGTATACGCAGTCTCTGAAGCCGAATATCAGTCCATAGTCACATCCGAACGAGCTTGGCGCACTAAAATTTCTGTCCCCACCTCGAGTGGCTCACTCTCTACCGCCACCTTCACGCACCCTGAACGCTCCTACGTTGTTTCCTGTGTCTTCTGCCACTCCGGGAAGCGGCGCATCGATATAGTAAGCGAGATGCCTGCTCATTGTGCGACATAATCAACTTACACGTCGTGCAACTGACATAGGCGTGGCACTCACTTTCGAACCATCGACGGACAACCCCTTTGCATCATGACATTGTCCCTCTCAAGACCATTGGCGACGATAAACCTGGAGCTACAAGACGGATCTATGGCCTAAACGCCATTGCGAGCATGTCGTGAACCATCAGCCACTATCCGGTCTTCCTTTGCGCCTACCTCCGATGTCCAGGGGACGTCTCCAACGGTTTCGCACCGTGATCAGGCTGTCCGGGATTGTCGAACACACCAACCCGTCGCGAAATGATCCCTCCTACCGGCTCTTTGGCGTCATGCCGATGCTCGCCTTCGTCGTCTTACTGCGCCAAGTTACCTTGATGTTACACAACGACAAGAATCTCGCCGTCTGCCTCTGGACGCTGCGTCGCTCACCTATGGGGACACGTCCAACGGACGAACGTCGGTACGTCCTCGTCATCAATGGCTTCTCATCTTTCTGAATACAACATACCCACAGGGCCACTTCCTCAAATCTACTCTCTAAGGACTGTGACGTGAGTTCGATAGTCGATTCTCAGCTCCTCCATGTCGACCGACATACTTACTCACCTTTACCCAGGTTGGCAGGCAATGGGACGCAGACAATGATCCACGGTACACCTTCACGCACGAAAAACTGCACTGTAGTGGACCGTTACTGCGGTTTGATGCTTGCTGGCGGATGCTTTGCCCTGTCCTGGCGAAAGAGGCCGTGAACGTCAGGCATCTCGACAAACCTATGATCTTCGCATGAAACAGCCTTCACGGCTCCACGTACCAGTGACGAGGGGCTCGTAACGCGTGACGAGAACCTGAATGTGAGCATCATACCCCTTCAAAGAGGACTCATTTACCATCTGCTCACGGACCTGCACAGATTCCGTGAATGGTCAACGTACGGAACGACCATTTTCGGACTTCCAACAATGCACATCGCGACGACGTTAAGGAGTTTGTCCATCCTCCGCATGTCATACTGTTCAGTAAACATGCGGAGTTCTATTGGTCGCCCGTAAACCTCGTCCCGTATGCCTGACGAAAGTGGTCAAGACGTCACGGTCCTTGATTCTGGCTCCCCGCGAACACAGTTGGATCTGTACTTCGGTGCAGGCACAAGAACGCTCCGCTTCCACTCAACTTCAAGCATCGCTCGCCCCACCAAAGTACCACAGCGCATGCAGGATCGCTTCCTAGGACACTGCGTGTACTTCATCCAGTAGTCTCTTTCGTATGCAACAAACCTCCGGATGCGCACCGCTCGGAAGGCGTCTCCTGGCCGGCGACATGCCTCTTCGTGGGGACTCGTGTCGTCAACCTACGGATGTTAACCTCCTCGACACGGTCTTCTCTAGGCACGAGGGTTAGCATGGGACGACAAGGCAAAGGAACGCCTGGCCGACGACGTACTTGTAGAACGAACCTGCGAACCTGGAATGAAGCCCTCGTTCACCGAGTGCCTTGTGGGACGGAACACCTTCTGCGCGATCCGGACAAGGAAAAGACACGCATAGACGGCGGCGAATCTCTAAAACAAACCATCAGCCTCGAAATAGATAGCGGGATTTTCGCGGTATCCGCAGCGTACTCAAGCTCCAACACCGAAACGTTGCCGCAAGCCCTCAAAGCTCTTTCTATATTCACGAATCGACTCACGGGCCTCAAGTATACCGCCCATCGGGCGATTCCGCCACTCAATGTCGAAGGCCTCACCTTCGATGGCAGAGACAGGCCTGGTTCCAATCGTGACAGACAAATCAACCACTTAGGCGAGATGACTGTAAATGGTTCTGGGGCAATCCTCACCGCGCGCACCAGAACCGCAAGTGCGAGCACTGTGGCACGGAGAACGAAGCCCGACCCTGGTCCGCGGTAGCGAAGGATTGCCGCAGGCTGATGCGTAGGCCTCTCTTCGCGCGTCTCGTGATCACGCACGAAACAGCCAGAGGCCATTGATCGAAGGGCATATGTCGAAGGGCGTATCAATATCTCCGCCACAACCTCTATGGACGTCGGATCCTTAGGGCGGGCTTTCCGTCCATGGAGGCGGGTGACGCACCGGCGGGACGTATACATCCAGAAAGCTCACCGGAGACGTGACCCAATGAATCAAGGCGCAGCATGCGCATTTTATGGGTGAAAGAGTCGGCATATTACCTACATTAACTAAGCCGATAATACGTTGGGTTAATTTACAATGAATCACGCCGCATCACGGCTGCAAAACAAGGTGAACATTATGAACACATTCTATATAAACTTACCATATGTCCAAGAGTATCTCACAAGCCTCATGCTGAACACAATTAAAATGAACCCCAGGTATAGCTGGCATGAGGCAGCCACTTGCATATGAGGATCATCTTGATTTCATTCTGAATGTCTCCAGTATGAAATCACAATGTAACACTAGGAGTCATTCAGAGGCCACTTAAGTCTTACTGGGGTAATATTCAAAATGACCCCCTGAGTAAGCCCAGACTGAGGCTCACATGTATCAATGTATGGAGATCAAAATGAGCACAAAAGTATAGTATGGATAATGCAGCCACTTACATATGATCATTACTTGGGCCTCAAATCGAATATCCTATGATAGCTCACATGTATGTAGTGGTGGCATGATGAGTATTCTTTGGAAATCAATCAGATGGACTCATAGTAATCACAAAATGAAATAGCCCTTCATATCTGGTCCAGACTTGAACCAGCCTACATTTTCCAATCATTCAACAAAATCAGTACACCCAACCTATGTGGTCTATTCAGCACAGTCAACTTGTATACTCTGTTCAGCTAAATCAGCACAATCAGTACAACCAGCCTATGCAGTCTTTTCAGCACAAACAACCTGTACACTCTATTCAACAAAATCAGCACAATCAGTACAACCAGCCTAAGTGGTTTCTTCAGTACAAACAACCTGTATACCCTATTCAACAAAATCAGCACAATCAGTACAGACAGCCTGTATACCCTATTCAACAAAATCAGTACAACCAGCCTATGTACTTTGTTCATCACAATCATGCAATCATATAAATTCAGTACAGCCAGCCTATGTAGTCTATCCAATACAATCCACCGGATTCAGTACAGCTAGCCTATGTACTCAATTCAACACAATCCATGAAACTCAGTGAAGTCAATCCATTATGGAAATCAACAAAATCAATAGAATCAACGAAACTTAGTGCAGACCATGACAGATCGCCGTCCGGTGGACCGACCTTCATACAAAAACTGCGACCTTCACGAATCTACCTTCAGTGGCCCGCCACGGCATCTATCGCGGGGGCTCTTGACGGATGTCGGGGGACGTCGCAATCGGCAATGCGACAGATCGACAAGCGAAACAGCAGGCCAAACGGTCATCACGAGGCGGTATTGCACTGATGGGCGAGGGCGACGTATCGTGGCGAACCCCATGGAAAGATGGTGAGTGGTCAGTGATAGTCATGCATAAACGGTCATTACTCACTATGCCGCGTTATCGCCGACTGGTATACGCCGTCCTGCGCAAAACTCATGTTGACTGAGTTTAGATGGCTCGGAGGGGCCGTGGAGATGGCGAGCACTGGGTCAGTGACAGCCATAAATGCTGACCTGCGACCGTACGCGAGCCTGATGTTGGTGCCATCTGTTGTTTTCCTAGCTACCGCTATGCCGAAGCCGGGACATGTCTACCGAAGCAAACAACGAAGATAAGTAATGGACCGCTTGCGAGAGAGTCGCGTACTTTACTTACTCGTCCGTCGTGTTACCGCAGACGCGAGCGACAGATGCGGGCTCGGCCACCTCATCAAATCTGTGTATTGAGAACGTGCGCAGGACCTCACAGCCTGCCTGCAACCTCGGCGCGGCTGCCCGATGTGGAAGGATTGAAGCGGGCGAGCGGACGTCGACAGGCAGGGTGTACGATCAGGGCAGGCGATGCACCGTAGACACCGCAGCGGGAGAGCGGACCAGAGACCGCAAGCGCCCGCGCCGACGCACACAAAGGGAGAGGGGCGACAGGGTGTATACCAAACAACGTAAACAAGTGCCATGCGAATTCATTGACGCGATCCACATCCGACCCTTGCCCAAGACGCCGTCTTCGTCGCTCTTCAACTCCCCGTTTTCCGCATTCGCACTGTCGGTGGCACCGTTCTCTGCGGCCGCCGACTCCGGAGCACGCAGATGGTGCTTCTTCATCGCGCCGCGCATGTTCCGGAAGATCGTCGTCGCGCGCATGCCCGCGAGCACGATCCGCAGGTCGCCAGTCTTCGCGGTGACCTTCCCCGGGAAGATCTGCTCCGGCGGGAAGTGCAGTGGCAGCCCACATGGGGTGATCGCGACTAGGACGAGCGAGGCGATGTACAGCGTGAGAGCTGCGTAGAATAGGCCCAGCGGGACGGTCGAGGGCACGTACACGCCGATGGCGCAAGCTCGGTGGACGGCAGGATGGATGTGGCGGACAGGAAGGCAGACGCAACGGACGCCACTGGCACTGGCAGGGCAGACAAGTGTATCATGGAATCCCAGCTCAGTCACATCTAGGGCGAGGTATGATATATGAGTACCGAGACGACTTCACAACTTTCTACGACGCACCGTGTGCCAGAAATCCTCTCCGTTGACCGGAGTCCCATCGACCTGTACCCTTACCCGCCTCGGTACAGACCCGTCACAGCGGTACGGGTGCTCCTTCTCTTTTCCCATCCTAGGCCTGGCCGCATCCGCATCCTGAGTCGCCTTGCACCAGGGTCGTGAACGGTCCTCACGCTCGTTCCGGAGTCGCTCGTTCCGGAGTGGCTCGGGGTAGAGCTCTAGAGGGCGAGCGGCCATCGAGACTCGATGCACGAGATGCCTGGAGCGCCGCCGTGGTGCTACTAGCTGAATCGTGGCAGAGGACTAGCTAACGCGTTGAGGCTGTGCGCGCGAGGGCCGTTGTGATGTTCAATCGGGCGACCGTGTTGCAGTCATGGGCGTATTGTCGAGAACAGGGAAGCGCCGGGGCCACTCGAGGCCAATTGTGCTCGTTTTTGGTTCCTCGTACAAGCTCAGAGTCATATCGTACGCAATTGATTGATTCGCGAGCATCACTGGAGCACTGGGTTCACTACTTGTACATACATCGCACGCATAACATACATTCACCCGGCCACCCGGCGACGAGCACACTACTGCGTCGACGCGAACGCGTCTGATGCAAAGACCACCGGCCTCGACCCCGCCAAACCGACGGCCATCGTTTCAGAGCGGCGTATGAGCCAGAATAGGGTTGACGAGGTGGCTCACAGCGCGTCCCTCCACTTCCTTGCGCACAAACAAGGTAATGACCCAGCTACCTGGAGTCTACAAGCTCCGATTCAGAGATTGTATATGATTATGCAGCAAACACACACGTACCGCCATCTTGACGATGTATACTTCCTTGGCCTCCCTGAACTTCGCCGGACTGCATTCTATGTATTCTGCCGCCAATCGTCAGCTGGGGCGCGACCGAAATGAGGTGCACGTACCGCAGGCCCTGCGACTCATCATATCCCAGAATTGTTCGTCCGATTGAAATGAAAGCCGTATCGTTCCCTGTACAGCGCTACCGTTGAGCGACGCGGGGTTCGCGCCGAGATCATCGTCGTGCTGAGGACCGACACCGCTGTCGTTCTCCTTAGTGGCGCCTTCTGCAGCAGCGCGTTGTCCTTCGGCAGCGTCTCTGCCCACACCTACTCCATCGCCCCGGGCAGTGTTGCCTCCAGCGTGGGGAGTGGCTGGCTCTGGGTTGTAAGGAAACGGCTCAAATTCCGAGGATGGCGTGGTTGTAAAGACGGCCAAGGCGGCGGCACCGTCAAGGGTAAGGCGGCGCTGCAAACAGCCGGTGCAATAATCATCAGAAGTTGAGATACAGGAAATAAGGTCACCACTCACTACTTTCGCCAATACCTCCAGGTGGACCTGAGTACTGGTGGGCACAGATGAGGGATCTAGCCTTTGATTTGTCAAGACGATATCGTAGTTTGATAAGTCTATATCGGTGAGAGCTTGAGCCATGTTGAGGAAGAGAAGAGAGTGTTGTGAGTATGACACCGCGACAAACGGCCTTGCTTTATAGTTCGGCGCACCTAGAGACGCGCACGCCTTCGGGTATGCTTGTCCATTGTGCGGGCTTAGACAAACGTCCGTGGCCATGTGGTGTACAATTGACCTGCAGGAGGAAGATACACGTTAGCATACACGTTAGCATACACGTTGGCATACACGTTAGCATGCCACGTCATTGAAAGCAGACGTGGACCTTCGTCAACATGTACAGCAGAAAGAAATCGACTATTGCTGGCACCTTCAAGTCGACTAGGAGGCTGAGTTCCCGCGTCACCTCTAGGGGTAAGGTGGGCCCAGGTACGATCGTACGTACCAATGGAGACATCCGTCCGGGCTCTGCGCCGAGTGGCAGACAAAGAAGTGCTTGTTGTGATATACACGTATACACGTATACGTGCACAGACCGTACACGTACACGTCAGCCTAGGAGAGGGTCTTCTTTAATCGTAGCATCTCCCTTCTTGAAAGGTAGCATCTCCTCGTAGCTGAACCATGGCGGCGTACATTGCTAGCGTTTGGGCGACACTTTGGCGTCACGTTTTTTCTTTGCGGTATAACGCACAGGCTCGTTCCGTGTGCTGCACACCCGAAGTCTTGGACAGCTTACCCAGGTCTGTCCCTCTGTTCTCAGACGGACAGGTTTCCGCATACTGAAAGTCGGCTCAATTTGATCAGCGGCACTTCTATCCTCTTCTCGAGCAATGTGTTGGACTCAAGAGTCATCGAGAACTTAGACATACCGTATGGCGAGCCCGACACACTCATGCCTGCAGTGTTGTACTTCGTAGAACTGGCTGAAGGCGATTGTACGTTACCACGCCTTCCACAGCTCCTCGCTGAGTTCCATCTCTACAGCTGTTGTTGTCATCCAGCCAGTCATGCTAGACACGAGAATGCTTGACACTCACCAAGTTGGCATGATGGTCACTAAGGACTCGACGGTCTGCGCGATTGAGGTGCGAGCGCGCGATACATCCTTGAATTGTGGCAGCAGTCTAATCCTCGTCAGCAGAAGAAAACGATGATCAGAATTGCTGTGGATAAGCGGTGCTATCAGGTGCAACTGCCAACGAAAGAAGAGTTCCTGGAATTGCTGTACTGGTTTTCGCGCAGTCGCCTGCGCATCGAGAAGCGACGCCACATCCTGCGCGAGCGGTTGGAAGCACTTGGCCAGGCACTTCAGGCGCACTAGCATATTGTAAATATCGATGTAACATGACGGAATGAACGACTCTCCTGGATTTGGAAGCGGAGATCTTGACCAACCTGGCAGTCAAACAAACGTACAACGACGCACGTAGAGCTCGAAAGCTTAACGGCGATGGACACGCCGAGCCATTATACCGCATCGACAGCAGAACGATAGTTAGCGAAGGACGAGTTACGAGGTAATGAAAGGGGAAGTAAAGAAAAGGGAACGAACATGTCTGCGACGTACCTCAGCAGCCGTTGGGAATGCGGGGACGAACTGCCGCCATCATGCATCGTGGTTATGACCGATCGAGTTGGCGGGTCGGCCCATGCTCCGTCGACATGGCCTACGCCTGAACTATCCTGTACCATGTCAGTCAGCCCTCTCAAACCGTCCGCGTGTAGAACGCGCCCTCGCGCTTCTTCGTGCTTTTGAAGGTCGTGAGCGAGTCTGCATCATCCGGTCCGCGCTGGAGAATTCGCCGTCGGGGCTCGTCAGCACGGAGGGGGTGCGCAAGGCTCGAGCGCGTGAACCCGATGAGCGACGCGCACTGTGTGTAAGTCTCCGGGAGCAGGACTCGGAGGTACAGCTCGACTGAGCATAGAGCATAGAGCGGAGGAGTTGGGCCTGGTCGTAGAGCATCTTCTCGAGATGCGGCACATGCCACCGCTCGTCGACCGAGTACCGCGCCGCCGACCCAGCCACCGACGTGGTCGTGCACACCACCCGCATTTACCTTCCCTATCGTAAACGCTGCCTTCTCCACCGTCTGCTGTCTTCGCCGGGTGGTCCGTCTCGACCTCTAAGTCTGCAGCTTCGTGCGGCTCTGCGTCCAAGTAGCCCCAAACCTTCCACGTTCGGTGATTTGGTAGTGGTGCCGGCACTTGACGCGAACTTGGTGTCGGAGGGACGCCGCTCAGCAGCGGCGAAGCGCGTGAGGAACCCGGTCGTGGTCGCCACTTGCGGGAACTTCGCCCGAACCCGCCGTGCGTGCTGTCTAGCTGCTCAATCACTTGCTTGCGGATCGCCTGAAGTCGGGACACGTAATCTTCCGCCTGAATCTCTGTGTCGTGACGACTCGGCGCTCGTCGCCGTTGCGTAGTGTCGTACTCGCGATACTTACTTGTAGTGGAAAGTGTCACGACGTCCTATACAAGCTATGTTCCCCGTGCCCGCGTCCGCGTCCGATCAGCACCGCCTCGTCGAGGCTCTGCTAGTGCACCTTGTACCGGGTCGCGCCTGTCTCTGGGTTGATCAACGTCAGCGCAGTATGGCAGCGTGCAAGTGCAGGGTAGAACCCGTTTCACAGCCTCGCGTGGATCGTGCACTTGCTCTCCTCTGCGTACATCGCAGCTGCGCTGTCCGCACTGATCTCCGAGTCCCAGAAGTGGGATAACGCACCCTCCGCAAGAATGACCTTGTCCGCAGCGAGGGCACCCGGTATGTCCTCCGTCGAGCTCGTACGGGTCTTCCTAACACCGAGTGTCCCAGGGCTCTGCGTTGCCGACGAGCGGTGCTCGTCTTCCTCTCCAGGTCGCCTGACCTTCGTTGCGGAGCGGTCGTTGCGCTCGGTGCTCGGTGAAGTATTTGAGGAGCTTACCACGCGTAGGACGCGTCAATCACAGTGTCGTGGCCTGGCGCGGGAGAGACCAGCTCGCCTTGGATTTCTTGGCTAGAGTCCCTCGCCTGCTCCCCCGGCGAAGCTATGTAGCTGCCTGCGCCTGCCGCCGATGCTCGTCTGATGTAGTCTAGAGTTGTTGTAACTTATATAGGAAAGCGAGAGAGGATCGAAAGCGGGTACTTAGCTGTAGCTGGGCTTTTGAGACGACCGACGAAGTGAGGAGAGCGATGCGCGCCTAATCTCCTCCTGCGCGCGTCCTCTTCTAGTTAGAATAACGATTACTATGCAGGCACTCGAGGAGCTTGGCGGTCCTTCGTGCACGGCGTCGGATCCATTCGCGTTGTGTGCGCCTTGATTGACGAGAACGGGGTTTGCCATCCCGGAGACTACGCCGGTGTACTTAAGCTTATACTACTATGGCATATACACATAATACACATACGCGCATTGCACTCTCCCGGCCCGCACACAGACATTTTCAGTTTTCATGAATTCGAAAACGATGCAATTTGCAGGCTCTACAGGTATTGCCAGTACTAAACGCAGCAACAAAAGGTGAGTGTTTCTGCATGGATCGCGATCGACAAGCAGGCCTACACTGACCTAACCACGGAGTCCGCGCTCGGACAGTTGCATCTTGATATCAGCCAGGATACTCATTACCTCGTACATATCGGCCTGAACGCATGATATCCGGCACGTCAGGCTGTCCAGGCGCTATCAACGTCAAGATAAGCGCATGAATACTACGCGACGCGTACAACAATTCTGACCTCGTAGACAGTGACCAAGTCTGCGGCCCAAGCAGCCTGCGCGACATCGTGCGACGGACCAACACCAGGGGCTGAAATTGGAACTGTGCCGGACGACCGGGGATAGGAAAGGTACGACGCTGCGTCGGGCATTGCTGATCCAGTCGCAACCGTGACGGTCCCGCACGCAGTGTCTGCACTACCACTGCTGGCGACGACCTCAGGCTCTTGATTTCGGTCGGACATGCTGTTGAGATGCCGTTGTTTGCTGCAGCTCATACGTGATACTGCAAAAGACACCTACATGTAGTCGTCGCTCGTCGGCACAGAACAGGGAGACAAGCATCTGCGCTTTGACTTCGGTTGATCGCGCATGTTCACAGTGCTCATTGGACTATAGTCACATCGAGGGGAGTGTGGATCCGGAGCTGATTGACCTCCTTCGTCAAACGCATCATCCGTCTCCCGGTAACGCTTTTTGATCAGTTGACTTTCATCCCTACTATACGGCAATGTCAATAAACCCATGCCATTCAACGGAACTGGCACGTACCGCTCCACTGACGAAAATGGCGTTCTTGCAGGCTTGAAACCCAACATGGTGTTCGGTGCCGCGGTCTGTACTGGCTCCAGCGAGGGCTTTGTTGTACGCGTTGCGTAGAGAGGGGGTGCGATCGCGAGAAACTTTAAGACTTGGGAACAATACGGCCTGCAATAAGCACCAGCCACATGGCACATACATATGCATCAGGACGAGATGTCACCGCGCATTGTCCATGGCAATGCGCTGACGTGTAGCATTCGCCGACCTGAAGGAAGGCTTGTATTGTCAGTGAGAACAAAAGCAAAAACCAAAACACAGCCTCGCCATATCTAGTACGCTCCGGAACGACTCAGTTCCATGCGCGAGGCGCGCTGGTATGGCTGCATGCGACCCCCCTGAGTCTGCGTGTACATGTTGAGCCACTCGGAGGATGCGCGGTCAGTATCAGTCTCAGACGCACAGCCAGACTCGTGCGCGTTTGACACCTCGGATACGGCCCCGGCATTGACTCATACCATTATAATGACATAGCTTTCTCCAAGGTGTACGCGTCGATGTAGTGTACTGTCCCCACGCCACATACTGTCTCCATGCCGCCTACTGTCCACGCCGCATACGTACCATGCGCCCGATCGTCGCGAGTGCCAACATAAGTCCCTATCGCCGCAAGTTGCTCGGCCCCGCTTCCGCGTTTTCAGGTTCCTCTTCAAGCGCACTGTCTGATATCAGACTGGGCCAAACGATAGGTCGCAGACCCATATCCCTGATGTGTAGCTGTCAGACGTGGTTACGCATGTCAAGAAATAGTACACCCTCACCGCAAGAAGTCGGACTCGATGCTGAAGTCGTAAGGCTTAGAGACGACGCGCAATTCTTGTTTCTGGATGCTTGAAAGCCGACCATACCAATGCGGGTCATAGGCGTTGATCGGTAGTCCCTTGACGGCCGGTTGGTTGTCGTCGATTGCGACTGGATCAGAGGCTACGCGGCGACCGGGCAAGGCACCGCGCGTCACCGGCAGGCCTGGTGGAGCCCTGTATCTTTCGTATGCAGCATCGAAGACACCCATAAACCGAGAGATTTGCGATTGTCTCCACGGCTTAAGCAGCACACGGAACTGTCCTGGGGTACTGTCAGGCTCGTCCGAGCTCATGCCGTTGGGACCAAGAATTCTCAAGAATTCTTGATGAGGGAGCAGCTGGTCGTACATTAGACAAGAGGCGAGTCGCCGTTGAAATTTCTATGCTCATGACTTAGGTATCATGCAACCCATGATACTGAGACACTCACGTTCTGCTTCCGCTGCAGGCGACTGTGCTGCCATTTCTTCGCAAGGACGGCTTCCGGGGTCGGTTTCAACAGTTGCTCCTCGTACTTCTTGATTAGCCCCCGCAAGTGGGACCTAAACGCCGCCGATATCTCTGACCTCTTCTTACACTGGTATTGCTTGCATTCTAGGAAATTGTCAGTAAACACCTCCGTTGCGGACTTGTTCCATTTGTTGGCCGCCGTGCCCTTCAAGTCTAGTTTGAACTTCTTCGCAGTACAACAGCGGCCTTCTTGGAAGCCTTCAAGCTCTTCCGGTGTCGCGACTGATCGACGCCGGATACGGGAGTCACGCGTCTCGCGCTTCATGAGCACACGGGTGTGGCTCCGAACATCAGACTGACAACGAGTTAAGCTAACTTTGTGGGATTGAAGTATGAGGAATCGCACCGCGAGTTCCGTTGCATCCGCAGGTCGGCGCTTAGGAAATCCATACTTCTTGGGTCGCTTGAGTGGCAGACTCGGTTCGTCGCTTTCATCGTCAGCATCCGAGTCATTCTCTGCTCTGCCTTTTCCTTTTCCTTTTCCAAGCTTGCTCGTTAGTACTTCTCTTATCGCCTTGACCTCCCCGTGAATGGCGCCCATCTCCTTGTCGATCCGGTGAATGTCGTCTCGAGACGCAGGTATGACCTACGCGCAGACGTTAATCAACGACGCTCGGGAATCGCGTTCACACTCACAGTACGACCGCCCCAGGTGTGCCCTCCTGAAGGCTCGGGCCTATGGATTTCAGCGCTGTCTGGGTCGACACCGTTCTGCTGTGCAGGACGGGCGTCGACTTGGTTGGGCGCGTCTTGAGTAACTGAGGGACTCTGTGTGCGCCTCGCCTCTGGGCCGGGGAATTCACTGACTGGTTCTTCTCGGCTGCATCCGAGGTCCTCGTCGGCCATCTGGACGTCTTGCGTGGATGCAGCGGCATGGCCGTCTGGGATGCCTTCCGCAACATCGGGGACGATCTCGTTTTCCATGACATCACGGTTGATAGGCATCTGGCGATCCGAACCCATATCCACGTCTTCGTCAGTCACTGGAGGACCGCGCTGCTGTCTCGCAAGGAGTCGGTCAATGTCGCGCGGTGTGTTCCGTTCCGATAGTAGGAGGTCGCCAGCGCCCGTAGCTGCCGCTCGACCTGGAGGCCCAATCATTGCGTCATCCGGTGTACGGGCGGTCGGTTCGAGGAAACTGTCAAAATGCGGGCTGTTGAATGCGGGCTTCCGGGGACGTGGTGGCACATCATCGCCCTGCGCGGGAGGGATACATCGACATCGGAGCCCGGTGCGTGCTGGGTCTGGTGAACCGTATTCACGGAAGACGAGCCGAACGCTGTAGGCCCCGGTATTATCCGGAGCCTGAGGCTGAAGGAGACGACCCCGATACGCGGCTAATCGACGAGGTAATCCCATCCAACAACGAAATAGCTCGGTTCCGGCGATTGAGGCTCGGCCTCTCCGGTGAGATAGTACCTCCTGCGGACGTTTGGTGGCGGTTATGGCCAGATTCCCGAGAGGATTCGAGCGGGGTGTTCAGGAAATGAGGACCGGGGACCATCCCTCCAGGTGTCGGCTGGCGAATGCGCCGTGCGCCGTGTGAGCCCATACCAGCGCGCGATTCAGCCAGCGCTGGTATCTGAGTCAATGCCGACGATGTGTCTTCGCCTACGCTGAGCGTAACTAGTCCGTAAGAGGCTAGCGTGGAGCCGCTAGGCATCGAGTTCAATTCCAGGACGGGCGGTCTAGTTGGTGACTCACCGTCGGCCGCATCGTGTTCCTCCTCACGCGGATATAATATGGTGTCGTCGACATGAGCGACCGGCACCGTAGAGATATGAGCGTCCGACAACGGTGTTTCGTGACGCTCTCCCAACACAATTACGTCGTCATCGGCGCGAGGCTGAAGCTTGTATTCAATATATTGCCCCTCAAGGAGAACGACACGGCGTACCTCGCTGCGAGCGTCAGAACGGGCATTGCTCGATTCTCCAAGTGGACCATCCAGCACGCTCTCTACATATCCTGTCCAACCAACCCCAGGGCCCACATCTCCGGCGGCTGGAGCATCAGAGGAGGCGGCTCTGCTCAAGGAATGATGCCTAGAGCTGGAGCCCACACGGTCGTGGCTTGGTTGCTGCAAAGCGACGTTAGAGGTTTCAGCCTGCGATCCTTCGCGTTGACTGTCTGAAGAAACTGGTTCCAAATTTACATAGCCCGGGGATTGGACATGCATATGACGTGCGCCGGTGGCATACACTATCTCTTCATCTGTGTTGTGACACGACCAGCAGGATACGTAGCGTAAGAAATTGACGCGGCCTCTTCATTGCGCAAAGCTGCAGATTGACACAATCAGAATCACAACACGGGGATAATCGCCAAACGAACCGGGTACAAGTTCCGCGATGTCACTCCGACCGCCTTGAACTATTCGCCCTTCGCTCAGAGCTGTTCGATGATCAGCTCCGTCATCACGCGGAGCGACGAGTGGGTACGATGGCCGCAACAGACGAACATCAGCTCCTGAAGGCACCAGCCCGCCATGACGAGGCCTGTCGTCCATTGACGCGCTCCGGTGACGCTGCAGCGCGTTGTGCCCGCCACGCGCGGTGCTGGGTTCAGCGGCAGAGGCGTCAGGTGGCTGTGGTTGCAAAATCCGCCCATCAGGTGAGCTTCCTCGAATCAAGTGAAGGTATTGCGGTGAACTGTCTTGGCTGACCGCGGTGGCATGTTCTCCTGGCCCGGTGCCAGTGGCCTGTTCTGTTGGCTCGATGGTCACTTCAGCTTGATCCTTGCTGCTCATGCCCGACTCCAGTACACCACGCGCGGGCGTGTCTGACACCTGCAAAGACGACAAGGCTGTATGGCTGGCCGACGCAGACTCGCTCGAATCCAACGACTGTGGGGCGACCTCGCCGAGTGGCAAGGTCATTCGCTCTACTGCTGATGCATCGACCGCACCCTCAATCACAGTGGACAGGCCGGCCCAGGCCCTGCACGGCCGCGACTACGGCGCCTTGACGTGGGTCGACTTGGGCGGGTGCGAGGTCCGTTCGGGGACGCAGAGCGACTGCGGCGTCGTCGACCGCGCTCAGGGGAGGTCGCAGCCCTACGATCCAAAAGACGCGCAGCTCTCTGCGCGCGTGAAGGCGTTTCAGGCAATCGAGCCATCGGAGGGCCTACGCCTGCCACGCGTGGATCCGAGGAGTTGACGGAGCGTGCCTTCGTCGAAACCCTAGTAGGAACCGATCCCTCGATGGATCTAGCCCGGACGCGAGGCACAGTCGGAGATCGAGAACGGCTGCAGCGGCGTCGGGCGTGCTCAGGGGAGACCGTACGCCGACGACCCGTGAAGCGTGCATGTCTTTCCGCGCGTGAGGGCGCCTCGGAGAGTCTAGCCGTTGGGACGTTCGTGTCGGTCGCGCGCACGATGCCATCCGAGCTGCCTTGAATCGTGGCTGGACCTGGTTGCTCTTGAGCTACATCGCCGATCGCGTCCGTGCCAGAAGCTGCTGACGTGGTTTGTGGCGGGGTCGGGTGAGTATCATGATGTGACGATACCCCCGCAGCATGCGTGGGTGATGGTCGTTGTGCAGTGGAAGATTGGCTGGGCATGTAAGTGACGATATCGGGAGAGGGGCTCTTGCTGTATTCAATGCGCCTCCGTTTGATGGGTTTCCAGTCGTCTGGGATTTCCCAGGCGGCACGACTGTCGTTCGAGCCATCATCATCTGAGGGAAGAAGCAGGTCCTCGACGATCAAGTCGTCCACAACATCGTCCCCTTCTTCGGCGTCATTGGAACTGGCAGCTGCGCCACCAACTTCGGGCACTGCGACGCCAGCTGCCGTAATACGTTCTTCCGCCGGGCTCTCGTCTCTTCTACGTTTCGTTCTGGACGGTCGTGGAACACCTGTAGACGCATCACGTATGGATCAAGCTGTGGATTCGCGCCAACCACTGAACGGCGTCCATACCTAATGCCACTCCTTCATGATCCCTGGCAGGACCTCCGTGTGGGCTTTCGGCATTCATTTCTGCGGACGACGGTGTGTCGGCTGGGACTTCGGCGACGCATCAGTCACGATTCAACAGTCCGGCTTAGCCACTCTGACCTGTCTGGCCCATTACGGCTTCGCCTGGATCATCAAAGGCACACCGTTCGGCGGAGGTACTTGGAGGCATGTCTTTTGACACAGCTGCTGTAAGACACAGTTATGAGCAACAGGGACGGTTTGGATAAATCACCCATTACCTGTCGATTCTTGCTGCACATCTCCACCTAGAATTGGTATTATTTCCATGTTTCTGACTCGGAGACAAGCGTACATACCAGGAGAGGCGTCGGTGACAGCCCGGGGATGTACATCAACCATCCCGTCGTGAGGCGCAGGTCAAGGGGCTAGAGCCCACAGATCAATGTGCAAGATGCGGGGCGTTGCTGCAGTCAGAACGTGAGTCTCAGTAGAGTAGATCTTGTAGAGGTGCCGCTGGTCACAAACCAATCTCGCATCGTCCGACCACGAGCCGGTGCATGGCCACGTAGACCAAGACATCGTGGCCACGTAGACCAAGACATCGTGGCCACGAACCACACTGTGTGCATGACGCCACGTAAGTAGCCTCGGAACCTGCACCATACATGACTCTCAGGCTGCTGCCAGTGCCACTGCTGTCGCGACTTTCAAAATCACGTGCTGGCGGCGAGTCGCGTAAGCTACGTACTTACATGTACAATTCCGGCGTGGCCAGGAGGATCTCTCATGGTGTGAATGCATATGTGTAGGACGACGACCGTAAGCGCACGACGCTGGGAACAACGCCGTGACTATCGTTACGCATAAGACGGCATAAGATGAATACTGCACACTCTATCGACGCTCCCTCTTCTTCCGGCTGTTGTACGCACTTATGGTCCCTTTGGTGACCCATAGTGCAGAGCAGGGGTACGCCAAACCCGTGGGGGTACAGGGTAGGGGTACAGCAGGGTAGGGGTAGGGGTCCTGTGTGGCTGACCCTCGTACCCGTGGCATACCCGCAGACAGAATTTCCATTTCGGGGTAGCTACATTTGATGTGTCCCATATTCTATAGAACCTTATCACTAAAACTAGTATACAGACGAGGCTGCATGACCTGAAAGGCGGAGACAACAAGATAACTCTATCGGCAAGCTTCTCACAGCCTCCGAGACACATCCGCATTATGCCCCCGAGACGTGCTTCTCGAAGTCCCGAGCCTCGGCCTGCCAAGCGCATCCGTATTCTGTCAGAA